ATATGTATGTATGTGTGTGTGTGTGTGTGTGTGTGTGTGTGTGCAGGCGGGTGTGTGTGTATATATGTATGTATGTGTGTTTGTGTGTGTGTGTGTGTGTGTGTGCGGGTGTATGTGTGTGTATGTGAGCACAAATTTGATGTAGAGGATGTGGGGGGGCAGGCTGGAGGGACTTGTCCGGGTATCTGATGTGCAGCTGGGGGGTTCGACACAGCTGCAGCTACAGCCGATCAAAGCTCAGCAGCTGCCCCCCCCCCCCCCCCCCCCCCCCCCCCCGCCCCCCTCCCCCCCCCCCCGCACAGAACATTATCACACCGCCGACCCTCTTGGTTTGTGTAGGAGAGTAAACTCAACATCAACAAGGACTAGGAAAAAATGTGCCGCATTTAAATATGCATTTCCGCTGCTAATAAACAGAAGTGTAATGCCTGCGATATTACTCAAAAAATTGCACAAGAAAACGTATTAAATGTCTGTTGATTTGAATTTATATGAGTAGATCATTATCTCTGTATTTTAAATTGCTTGGCTGCTACTTTTGTCCAAAACAAGAAGCATGTCTTTCTGTTGATGCTGCTATTTTACCGGAACAGATCAAGTTAGTTACTGTGCTTAATGTTGGCCCAGCAGCCTCCTCCCCAGGGAAAGAACCAGAAACCATTTGGGTCCTAATGTCATTAAACCCCATGACACCTGCTGCAAAAAAAATGCATTACATGTAAATGTGAAAGTCTTTGGGAGTGTCATAAAATGCAGGCGTCCCTGGGATGAGGGGCATTGCAAGCAGGAAATGAGCTCATCTTGCCGTCAGCATCTGTCTGCTGCCACACGCCTGATAGAAATTTGATCATCGATACAAAATTCAGAGTCTCGCCAAAAACTAAAATAGTGAGAAATACCCGATAGCCTGAAACCCCCCCGATGGGTTTAACAAGGACTTCACACCAAGCTTTACACATGATTTTAGCGTTAGGTAGCGCTAAGACCTCTGGGACGTCAGCTTTTTTGACGCTAGTGAGTATTAGCAGCCCTTACATACTGAAGTTTTGGTTGAAGATGATTCTGCTGGGGGGCCTGAAATACAACTAGGCTTCTGAAGCTCTATTCGTCGTGCGCCGGAACCAGAGGGGATTTTGCAATAATGTTTCATAATGTAACGAATTACTCCTTAGCCTAATGTGCCTTTCAAAGAAATCATTTCATGCATCACAGGTAAAGTACCCAGGCTGGGTGACAGTTCAGCACATTTCTTGTTTCAGTTGAATTTATTCTGCTTATTTTGGAGATTTTTTTTCAGGGGACAACTGTGGAGCCCACGCAGTGAAAAATCTGACCTCAAGAAAGTTGTATACTGTGTAGATGTTCAGGTAATTAATACTGAATGCAAAAGGTATTGCTTTTTTGGAAGAAGTTCTGTGGTATGAGTATGCAGTGTTCTTACCTCCGACGAGACGCACGCCAAGCAGACGGCTCAGATGCTGAGTTTGCGCAATGCCAGTGTGACATGTTTAAACAGCATCTCCCCACCTCTGTCTTCTCACCAGGCTTCTGCAAACATAGCATTTGTGCAAAGGCAAATAGCCGAAGGTAATCAGATCATTTTCAAAAGCACATTAAGAGGAAAGACCTGCTCTTGACACACTCCGTCAGACTAGATGCTTCCTGGCAGCATCAGGGAGAACAGGTTCAAAGATTTCAAGAACTGTAAAATCCTGTAGCCAGTCAGTCAGGTATTTACGGCTGATTTATGGACTCATGTGGGCGAATCATGTCAGTCACTAGTGGAAAATTAGATTAGGAAAAGCAAATTCAAAGCTGGAAAAAAATGCAACAAATCTGCCAAAGTAATTCCACCTCAGGTGACTTAAAAAGCAGTGCAGAGATCTCTGAAACATGCAAGTAAAAGTATATATTTAATTGCATCTGTATAATTCATGACCCATAGTCAAACATTTGTGATTTAATTAAGCTTGTTGTAACTTAATTCAAAGTAGCTGTTAACTTTTCAAAATCTAAACAAAAGCGTTCTGTGAAGGTCAATATTTAAAAGTTAGGTTACGTTTGCTCTTTTAGTGATGGTAGTATCCTGTTTTCACACTGCGTTTGGTTGCTAAATAATAATAATAACAATAATAATGCATAATAGTACTAGTAATTATTATGACAACAAATAATATAACAGCTTGCAGAAGGTGACATTAGAAATGTTATACCCGCGTTTCTTTACCCTTCACTTGCACCAATTTCTTTTACTTCATCTATTAAAAGCCTATTCCGAGCTTAGTTATGTCCCGAAGGCGCTGAAAACGAGCACTATCTTAAAATACAGTGGATCGTCGTCGTGCTCTCAGCAAACTGATACTCGCGTTTCTTTACCCTTCACTTGCACCAATTTCTTTTACTTCATCTATTAAAAGCCTATTCCGAGCTTAGTAATGTCCCGAAGGCGCTGAAAAGGAGCACTGTCTTAAAATACAGTGGATCGTCGTCGTGCTCTCAGCAAACTGATACTCGCGTTTCTTGTGCACAACTTAAATACACATCTACGTTTTGCTCTGGGGATGTATAGCATTTGCTGTATACTGTATTAGTATAAAACTAAAACTACGTAGTATTGCACCATCCTACACGTTGGAAAAAAATAAAATATATTACTATTGAGTACAAGTAGCATCGTTTTAATAAAATTATTCAAGTCTCATTTATTACAGGAAAACATCGATGACTACCGATTGAAGAGATCCATGATTTAAAATATACATAGGTTGCCTATCAACATCAAGGGTACTTCTTTATTTTCAATTAACTATATTTTTTTTCCATAGATGTCATGCCAAAGTTCTTTTTATTGCTGGCGGAAAAAAAAGATACAAATAAAAGCATTGATTGAAATATGTAAATTCGCGGTCAAAAACGAATGTTTTTTCCCCAAAAATTCAGTTAAAATTTTTTGAGCTACGGAATCAGTGCGGCCCGGGGAAGTGCTGACCCCTAAGATGGCACGTGGGGTCATGGCTCGGTCACTCTGTCACTCTGTTATCAACAGCAGTCTAACCAAAACAGAACCTGCGTCCGTTAAAATGTGAATCATATGAATATGTGGTAATACACAATTTTAATAAAATGCGAATATATTATTTCTAGTAGGGCCTTGAAATCTTGATTAATGTAGTGGGGTTTATTTTACATACGTCCAGGACCTAAGCCCAATGATTCAGGGGGTTGACTGACTCGAGGCCTAATTCCACACCATTGTCACAGAAACAATAACAGTAACAATTTTGTTGGCGGGTCAAACACACTAAATTAAATGTTAACATTGATAAATCAGTGTATGACGCAACAATGTTTCCGCTTATGAAATCGATGAAGAATATAAAAAGGTTATTTAGCACTTCACGCCTATCAACAGCAAAAGTTTTTAGTTTTAGCTTTCGTAAAAAGTTTGGTCATTATTTAAGAAAAAATCTGTTAGGTTAAAATTATTAAAACTAGATCTAATTTAATTAAAGTCTTGTATTCAACTAATAGATTATTTAAGTCGATGTCATAAAAAAAAACGTGAAATGTGGATATGTATGTATTATATTTATGTAATTCATGGTGATACAATTATCATCAATGTTACTATTTAATACTGGTTATTTATATAACGAATTTTACATACGTATACAATTAACATGTTTTCCAGACGAAAAAGTGTTACAACCTGTATATCTCCTTATATATAGCCTTGAACAAGTTATATAACATTGCAAGTATTAACTACAGTGCAATCACGAATTAGAATTAGAGAAAAGGCCAACGAATCTTAAAGCTTGTATTTAATTAATCGTTGCGAATCAGAAAATTCTAACATTTAATGTAAATAAAAAGCTTACATTGATCACCATTGTTTGTACTATCGGACAACAGCGCTACTAAATAACTAATCATGCACGTTACGCACGTGGAATCTTCAGGATCAGATCATATAAACTGTATTAATACGTTATTAATGTATTAGACATTGTAGATATGTAAACATTTTTACAATGATTGTTGTTTCATTATGCCACATGCCACAACATGATTGCAATGCCAACTTAAAACGTAATGCCGAATTTAAAATCACTTGAATTGCCTTGTAAAACAAGTTAGCACAGTCGTAAACTTATTTCAATTAATAATTTAATAAGAATGAGAATGCATGCATAAAGAAATACGATACAATAACTTACATCTCTAAAACAATATCTGACGTGCTTTGCGAGTGTTTATAAGAAGTTCCTTACAAGTATTTTAAGGTAAAGACCAAAAAGAAAATCTGAATCACTGCAAGCGAAACATAACGCTGTATTTCACAGAAAATAAGCTTTCCATTGACTTAGAGCTTTCGCTTCTGTTCGTCTTCCGGAGACAGACTGGTCATATCTATTTGACCTGCATAAACACTTCTCGTAGCGTTCAGGTGGATTCGAGGTAAAGGTGAAGTTGATCATCGGTTATTTACAACATAATAAGGAACTTCAAGTTGGAACACTTTATCCAAACGGTTAATAGCCGATGAACGTGTTATTTCAGCAATGAAGACGTTTCTGTTAAACTAAGAATTCAAGGAGATAAAAAGTAAATAAATCTTTAAAAATACGGTCACGGCGGTAACAATAGAATAGTTAATTTTATTGTATAGACTATTCTTTAACAGAATTGAATGATCTGTAAATCATATTAAATAAATGCCCTATAATGTGTTGACATAGAACCACACAATACTCTGTATAAGAAAGAAACGAAAACTTGCGTCAATTCCTTTTTCCTAGAAGCTCATTTTAAATAATAGAAACGCAACAAAACATAATGAATTGCAAACATATATTGTCATGTTTAACAATTTGAGACAAATAGATTTCTCTGTTGATCTATATTCTAATTACGTTTGGTCAGAGTTCTTTCAACGAGCATTTGACATGCTTTGCGTTTGTGGCCATTGAGCACTGAAAACTGAAGTAACATCAAACAAAAAACTGGGAAGTATTTTGCTGAGACGAAAGAGAAATTTAGAACCATCCGCCAATGTTCTTATATTAATATATTATTGTTCAGTGTGCATCATAATATTAATACTCTGGGTAAGTTTTCATGCCTTAGATGTCATTGTAACACTCGCACCAAAAGTTGCCACTTTCTTTTAAAATAATTTTAAATTTTGAATTTCTTCCCAATGAAAGAGCTTTAAAAACATGTTATCTAAATGGCAATTATTGAAAGTGGTAATTCCGGTACTGAAATTGATACTGTCATCAAAGATTCGCGCTTGAAGTCGAAATTACAAACAGCATTGACATTCGTTCGGATGAAATCTGAACCGTGCTGATTATTATGGTATTCAGCATTAAGCCACAATCCACACCGCTTTCCCTGTCATGCTGCCTCCACCCTTCAAGTTGCTGCCAGTATCGTTAAATTGATTATTTGGTCAAATTTTGCTTAGACCTGCTCTTTCATTTACAAATGATATAGATAAATAAACCAATAAGCTGATATTACTTGGAAGATTAGCAGCATGAAATGATAAATACATTTTGTCGAAGTTATTCATGTTTGAAGAACATGGATGGTTCTCCAGTAGTTTAATATTGGCAGTAATCCTCGTAGTTTTTGAGTGACTTTAAGCTTTTTATATACCTTTAATGTTTCTCATTAAAAGTTAAGAAGAACATTCATTTTTCCATACTTACGACACTGACCTGTGGTGATCTTAGCGAATAACGAGCAAGATAACGAACGATGAAGAAAATAACGAGTGGGTAGGCTCATTCGTTAACTTACGAACGAGATTACGAACTACTCTAGTTAGGAAGGGTTTCTGGAAACACTCGCTAATAAAAGAATGTTCTCAAGTACGAGAAAGCTAAGTGCTTAGCGTTACGAAGCTTCCAGGAAACGCGCCTCTGGTGTGTCGGCTGCTCCCCGCATTACTACACTAACTCCTGACACAGGAGTTATGGAGACAGGTGTCAGGAGTTATGCTGATCACAATCTCTCTCTTTCCCTTATACAGAAAGAAGTTAGAGAAACCGAGAAAGAGAATGTATTGGGGGATATTAGTATAATCATTACGGTGTTTATTTCGGATTGAATGCTCTAGGACAATACAGTATGCAATTGTGTCGTTCTCGTTGAGCTTCCACAGCTGAATGTCGTAGAATCACACTTTGTATGTTTAACTGAGGTGACAAACTTCAAGAATTAAGGTCCCTGCCTAATAATGTGTGGGTCATCCTTTAAGCTACATTTCTAACAACACGCCACGGTTTCCCGTAAATGTAGGAACATCACTCTAATCGTTTAATTTCCGATTTGATGTTACAACAATAATCAAGTCTGACCCGGCTATATGATTCTCCTCGGATCTTCTTATAAATCGGAATTATTTGGGTTAAAATGTGGCAACCTGGTTAAGGCTGAGGGCAAGGCAGAGTAAAATGTACAAAATGATGATATACATATTCAAGAGCGCTTTAATACATACACTGACCCGTAAACACTGCTGTGGGAAACACATTGCACGTGCCCTATACTTTTTATGTATAATACAGACACTCCTGCTTTCAAACTGATAAAACTCAGTGTCCAATAAAATACATGAAAGCGTTGCACATCATGCGAACTTTACATAATACATTCATCTGGCCACAAATTACTTTTGAGACAGCAGCAAACAGGCTGATATTACGAGGTATTTAAAGACGTTTTCAGGTGATTGTAATTCAGTGTACGCTTCTCAGATGTGGCGTTGCGGCGTCAGTGCGGTTGAACTTCCGCTACAGACCTGCACACTCCTGAACTCCGTCTTCTTAAAGTTCTAATCGACTGTCACACGTTTATCGTACAACCTGCAGTTTTCATTCAAGTGTTACAACTCTACAGTATACCCAAACCACTTCGTGTAAAAAATCTAAAAATGTTAAGCGTCTGGAGTGAAAAGGCCAAGTTACTTACTTGCGCTCTACATATCACGTACATTTAACACATTAAATTAATAAAATGTTCCAGGCTTAATTACCTTGCTCTAAACGCCCTCTTAGTGCATTTATGTTCTTCTCGAGTTATCTGCATACGACATAAAGTTATGTACAATGCTGTCACATGTCATACGGGGTAATATTTTGTGTTGACCTAGCAGGGCAGATGACAAGAATCATCTAGCTAGAGATGTAAGGGTCAGGCGCTGAAGATGTTGTAGACGAAGCTGGAGAAGGTGTGGACGGGACAGAGTGTGATTTTTCTGAGGCGTCTTCGTTTTTCTCCTCGTTCTCCACTTGTCCCGACGGGGATTTCGGCAAGATCCCTTCCTTCTCGCGCTTCTTCTGCTTCATTCTACGGTTCTGGAACCAAATTTTCACCTGAGTCTCGTTCAGCTGCAGCGCAGCGGCTATCTCCACGCGCCTCGCTCGCGTCAGGTACTTGTTGAAGTGAAACTCTTTCTCAAGCTCTGTAAGCTGCTTAGTAGTAAAGTTGGTCCTGACCGTATTCGGCTGTCCGCCGAAGCCGTACTCTCCCGCTTTACCTATGGGCCGAAAAAAAATGACCAATGGCACTAGTTTAACAAACTATTAAAATTTGCTTAGATAATTATTAAGGACAAAAATAAAATTACAAACAAACTCCAAAACTGCCTAAAATGTGAACACGGCAGATATATGTTGCTATTAATCTAGTGAAAATGTGTCTTCAAGTGTGTAACACTCACCGGTCTTAGGGGGGTTTCTTTTGACTTTCATCCAGTCAAATGTCTGCGTTGGAGTTGAGCTTTCGGACAGGGGCGAACAGCACGAGTCACGGTGGGATACCTGCAGAGGTGACAGAGGGTTCGTGAATCCTGCAAATGTGAGGTTGGACTGCTCGTGCGCATAGGCAGCGTGAGTATACTGAAACTGTCCAAGAGACGCCCCACTGTAACTTTGGCGATGCTGCACCATAGATGACGAAACGTTCCCAGAGTAAACGATGGGGCCACATTGTGAATATCCAGTGTTAGAATCCACGTCTTGGTTCAAGGTGTAGTGATTGTAATTAGCACAAAAACTCTGGGGGGGGTAGCCAGAACCGCAGCCCGGATGGGTGGCGTATGTGATGCCCAGTGGGCCGTGAGGTTGGTATGATCCCGCTTGGTGAGGGTGTGTAGGAATGCCACCTGGTGAACCTCGACTGGCAATAAAGCGATCATCCCCGCTGCAGTCATTAGCTGTGACAGCACAAGACTGAAAAGTTGTAATTCCGTGGTCTGAGTGGTACGAGGTAGTAGAGCAGGAGCCGCCGTCTCCACTCATCACTGAGTAATCTAAGAAGGTGCTCATTGTAGCATTCTCTCTGTGACAGTGACAGACCGGGCCCCGACTGATTATCTCTCACCCCAGATGACCGTGCCAACCTGCCCGCTTCTCCCATCAGGCCAGCACTAAGCGATATGAACGAACGGAGGCGGTCACGTGACGCGGGTCAGCCAGTGAGTGCGCGCCGTCGTAGACTTTGCCTTTCTCTCGGCGGTGATAGATTACCGTTTTAGAGGCATTTAAATTCCTAACGCTCTTCGATCAAGGTGACGCGCATCAGCATTAATGTATTGGCTGTGCAAACAATAGGTACTGCAGACGGCGACGCGCTGCAGTCGTGTAGCGCGTAGTCATTGTATCAGAGCAGTAAACAGTGCCTCTTCTAGGCGGATGTTCATGTGCTGCACGCATTCATACCCACTCTGCACCAGGGCGACCATGTACTATATCCACAAAACACCCCAGGTAAGAAGAACCGATTATGATTTGAATAATTTAGACTAACCTATAGGCCTACTAGCTAATAATTAACGTGTAAATGATACGAGTTAAATACGGGCTGTGCGTGCGATTAAAAGGCAGGGAGCGAAGTTGGATGTCTTGGTTTAACAGGGTTGTCAGGTCTGAGTACCAGGGAGGCAAACTTCAAATGTCTGTGTTGACTGTTGTTGGTTCCGAGATCGCAAGCTCGAGTAACTTAAAACCTTTGACGCTATCGCAAAGTTCTAGACCGATTTAGTCTGTACATGTCCGTACCTTCCATGGCCGGTTGTTTACACGGCTCTTGTAATACACGTTGAATAGCATTAATTTTGTATTTGACGTGGGACTAGCGTGATGATATTTCGCAAGAATTTGTTCAAATACGTGTTCCTTATTCAAAAGACATTATTTGTGTGCCATGGCTTGAGATTTATATGGTTTTTATATTCTGCTGGTTGCCTTCCATATGTATTTAAAGAGGCAAAATATTTTTAAATATTTTTAAATGCATGCATAATTGTGCATCGATATGTAAATAACATGATTATGTGTACTCGAGGAATGACTGAATATTTGAAATAGTCCGATAAACCATCAACCTAGGCTCGTAAATGCAGATCAGTCTATTAACCAGACATAGACACATTGTAGCCCATGTCCGTGGTTAAATTAACTGTTTCATTTGGTTTCCAAGTTGCTTTACCTGCTAAACCTCCAACAATACATTTATCGTTTTATTTCGTATAGCTGCGCACAGCCCACACGTGTGTAAGGATGATCGTCATGAAAACGGCCTGTGCCCTTTCTAGACATTAAGCTGAACATGCGGCCTTGTGGTCAGTCGCAAAATGGCTCCCCTGGCTTACTGCTGGGGCTACCCCCGCCCTCTACTCTCCCTGATATGCAGGCGGCTAAGCTTTGAATGTAGGAAACAGCTACTGTTTATTCAAGTATCTCCACTCGAAAAAGGCGCACGTGTGCCCTCGCAGAATTGTCAGTATTAATTTGCCAATACAACAATTTAAGCGAAAAGGGCTTATTAAGAAAAGCAATACATAATACAACTGATAGTCCATTCGAATACTTTTTCACGGGCATGTGCTGAATACATTTCACTCCGCTTGTAAAATATGCATTGTCTCTGTGGTGAGGAGAGAAAGGCTGCATTCACCGTCTGCGGGCTATCTCGTTAGGAATAACCCGAAAAGTCTTCTTTCCGGGAGAGACAAGTAACAAGCGATGATTTTATCTCACGGTTTATTGGCGAAATGTCATGCTATAGGGCTGCATTGTGCAGTTATACCTAGTAATTGTACTCACCATACTCCTTACATGTAACAGGATCGATCCTAATTAGCAAGGCAAGCTTATAAACGTGATAAAAATAATTCATTTTATTTTAGAAAAAGTAATTAAACAAACGTGAATGCGAGTGTGTAGGACTGCACGAAAGCTTTCGTATTTTAGAAAGAAATATGTTTTTATATTGTCCAAATGATCAATGCGCAAAAAGACCATCGTCAAAAAACAATGTTTAAACTTTTCATTATATTAAGTAGAATAAAATACATATTGTGTTCTTATAGAATCCAGTTAGAAATTAAACCTTTATAGTGTGATTGTAAATTGTATAGTTAAATGTAATAGTGTTCAACACAGAATATATATATAATTACGTGTTATTTATATGTTAACACAAGCAGGATATTAAGAAGGGAATCTTTCTGCAGCAGTCATTTTGAATTAGACAGCGCGCGGCGCCTGGTTATTGTGGCCACGCGCGGGCTGTAGGTTTAAACAGCTATAAAAATGAATTACAGCCGAGAGCCTAAAATAGCCATTGCTTTGGCCGGGAATCCCCAGTACCCTCCAAATGCGTTACAGGGTTTTATTTGTATATAGGCCTCGGCAATTGATCTCTTTGTTGGCATTCTCATTCATGAAAGAATTTGATTTATGACTTCGAGGGGAATTTCGTCCAGAATTCTTAGACAGACCCCTCACTTTACACTGAGCACAACAAACATTGCCTCGATATTTTCTAGGAACTGTTTATAATAATGTAGTTATATATTTAAAAAAAATAGATTGTAAATGTTACTGGGACACCTATATTTACGTCTACTAATACACCAACATATAATTATGCATTTAAAAGAGCATAAATTACTTTTTATTTGAAAGGAAACACGAATTTCTTGGCACAATTCAACTGCACGAAAGTGTGTGCTCCCGATGACATTATAAGTGCTATATTAAGTGTATTTTGCTATTTTAGATGACCTAATTATTTTTTTATAGTAGACTTTATGCTCCCACATGTTCAGAAATGTAAACAAATGTTTTGTTTCGTTTTTAGGTTGGAAACGAAGATTATTTTTCCATTTCTCGCTGAAGGAAGCTGAAGTTTCACTTACCGTTGAAGTTTGTAACTTTCGTGATCAAGAGAATGACTGCGACTACAAACTTTACTTTGAATTACAACTGTGTAAGCAATCATATATGTTGATATATTGTTTTCATTTTGCACACTATAGTCACATATGTCCTTGCTTCCGTTTTTGAGAATTGTGTATTGTACAATAAACATTTTCTAGTTAATTTTATTTGTTTTATAATTTGTAGTGTGTTGCGTTTTAGAAAGTTCGAAAATACATTTCATATTTCATCAAAAAAATAATTAAATGACGCATTTTTTAAGCTACTTGTAGCAAGTCAAGTTTATTCTAACAAAAATATTTATTGACATTGTACCCGAAAGCGATACAAAAATAAAAGGACAAAGATTCATTTCTATTTTTCCTCTTTTTACACACAATTATATTGCTTTCGGATAGTCGCCTGTTCGAATTTTAATTCAAATATTATCAAACTAATTATTTACACAAATTATATGGTGAAATCTTACCTCTGCATGATTAGTTATCTAATCAGTTAAGCCACGAAGAAAATGTACTAATAATATATAAAACTCTGAAGACAAGAACCGTGTAGTTGTGTTCTTGGGTTTGTTTCAATTTCATTTTAGTAGTTCAGATGCTGCAAATCGATAGTTGTTAAAGTGTCCGAGAAAAAATAAAAGCTGTCCGTAGATATGTCCACGGGACTATCCAGAGATTCTGACAGACTGGGGGAAGCGGCATCTGAAAGATGTAGGCAGGAATCTGCGGAGAATACGTGAAAGTCCTGTAAAGAAGAAACGTCCAGGGCCGAGGGACTACCATTGTCTAGGCCAGATGCGGACTCCGGGCCCATTGTGGACATGCAGCCTGGAACAGTGGGTGACGGATTGGGAAAATTTTTAAGATTTTTGTCATTGCTGTTCAAAGGCGAAACAGTAAAACTTTGGGAATCTCCATTGTGGACGTTCTGAGGCTGCTGCGGGGTTAGCGAGTTTTGTTGAAAGGAGTAGGTCTCTCGCTCCAGAAGGGCCCCTGACACGTTGTTTAGCGCTTGCTCGTAAAGAGATTTCTCCTCTTCGACCTGTGCTCCGTCTTCCATACGCTTCAACTTTCCCTCGCTATTCTGGTTCTCCTTGCACTGGGTTTGTCTTTTATGTTTCATCCTCCGGTTCTGAAACCACACTTTCACTTGCCTCTCGGTCAAATCCAGTAAAGCGGCGATCTCCACCCTCCTCGGTCTGCAGAGGTACTTGTTGAAATGGAATTCTTTCTCCAGCTCCAAGAGCTGAGTGTTGGTGTACGCAGTTCTCAGCCTGCGCGATCCCCCGCTGCCACTCTCCGGAATCTCGGGCGACCCTGAATCAGCAATAACGCAACATCGCGTTACGTTTAATACGGTTTATCAATGAAATTGCAAAGACCGTTTACCACACGCACATTGCGGCAGAATGCCAGTTATTTTTAAATGCGTTAAGGATTGTTCCTTGGTTTCCGAACTGCTGCGGCAATGTTTAGGGAAATCGAGCAACGAGTCATACACAGCATAAGCTAAACTCCCCAAAATAGTACTACGTTAGTGGGACTCTGAAGCAGCCTGGCAGCCCAATGAACTCGCCAGCTGCACCATAGAGCTACAGCAATCTATCACTCCTCATTACTGTCAAATATCAAAACTCTGGCACCGGACAGCAAGGAAGGTCAGTGTGGAAATCAAATAAATCATTTTACATTACAGAACTTAGTGAAACTTTTAAAGATACAGAGAGATGCATACACTATACAATTCGAAATTATTTGCAAGGTTGGGAGTTTATATATGCGCTTCTCCACAAAAAGGGAATATTCCTTAAAAAACATTCCATCAGTATTTTCAGCAAATTTTCAGCACTCACCTTTAGGCGAGAAGCAGACCGGTCCTGCCGCAGCGGCTGTGGACGTTGGTGTCGGCAAGTGATTCTTCTTGGAAGCTTTTTTTTCCTTCATCCAGGGATACTCCGGAGGAAGAGATGCGGTCGGCAGCGGACTACAGCCATTGGGGCTGTGCTTGGGCCGGCCGTGGCGAGGGTGGCTGCCGGGGTTTAGGCTGGGAATGGTCTGCTCAAAAGGAGGAGGAATCAGTGTCGAGTGTGAAAGCGTCGAGCTCTTGATTGATGAACTTTGAAATGAATCACCGACAGGGGGAAAAGATGTCAGGCACTCAGCAAGCGACGGTTGACTGTTGATAAAACCAGTCTCTCGCTCAAATTCGTAATTCATCTCCTCTCCCTCAGAGCTTTGGAAAGTTAGCTCTTATTTGAATTTTGTGGCCAGATTTAAAAATCATAAAAATCGCTGCTAGTGTTTTTTCTAATTCACTGATTACGGCCGTATGGGGACCGCGCTACTATTAAACTATTGAATTCATGGAGACAAGGTTGAAATTGGACCGAATTGCTTGTCACATGATTACTTCTGCCCAATGACAATTTGGGGTTTAATCAAAAGAAGCCACTGTCTGCGTGATTGATCCAAAAAAAGTCTGTAAGGAACGCCTCGTTCTGGGGGTAGTACTGTTTTTATTTACACGTTCTGGTCAGTTTGTCCACCGCCACGGCCCTACAGCATTGAAATATTTTAAAAACGCAAGCGTGACTGTGCATCCGCCGCGCGAGCCTCTGCCCTCCTCGTATTGTTACTCGATGTCAGAAGGACGCCCCGCGCACCACCAATCATTTCAGCATCTACTTGCGACGCCTGTAGCCATTAAGTGAGAGATTTACCAGAAAAGTACTATGAGAAAATTCATATATCCAACTGTTCGCATTAGGTCTTAGGCACATACCAGGTTAAAACGAAAACAAAGACGCTGTGAGATTCACAGACGCATATACATTCATACAAATATACAGGGTATAAATACATCCTGAATATTTGTTAGTGTGTGTAGGTGTATGTGTACACACACACACACACACACACACACACACACATATATATATATATATATATATATATATATATATATATATATATATATATATATATATATATATATATATATATATACACATACACACAAACGTAATGTATGTGTATGGTACTGGACAGCATATATATCATATACCTCATAATATCATCATATACCTCATAAATTTCATGTACCAGTAATGTAATGTAAGTGATGTGCCACACATATACATATATTTATCTTATCATATAATGATACGTATCATACTGTAGATGCTGCTAACATTCGCTGTTCATTTGAAGAGGATGTGTAAATGTGTAGTGCGAAGGCTACATTTAAGTCACACAGCAATATGAAAAATATATAGGCAAATTCATTTGAAACAATAAGGAACGATAAGGTACGGTGATATTATTAGCCCATGAGCTGGTGTCAATGAGATCAAAACAGTCACCGAATGAACATATGCAATTCATTTACATTCCATTTTCCACATCTCTTTTTTGTTCATTATCGAAATGTTGGAAAGGTTCTTTACCTGAAGAAAGATACATTAAAAAACAAAAGGCTACAATCTCTTAAATCTCTGGAGCCATTTGCTTTGAAGAGTGAAAATTCCACTGTGTGTCTGATATGGGGTGTGACCCACAAGCATAATAGATATTCGGCGGAAAAATATTAAAAACTTAAATTTCGATTGATTTAATTGTATATACGATAACCAGCATTAAAATAATTGTCCTTAAACGCTGTTATTCATGTCTTATTATAGGGATATCGGTATTAATGGGATTCATCATTATTTTGATACTACGAGTGCTTTATTAACACTTAAGTAGTTGAAATATGTACGGTACGTTATTTTAAATCGTTTCTTCGTCGGTAGTAAGAGAGGGTTGTATTTAAAAGGGGAAAGAGTAGTAGGCCTCTCACAGTTTATTGCTTATATTATAAACAAAGAGGCAAGGAAGCCTTCGCGCTATCAATCTTACTCGCCAATAGGTCTGACAGCTTCGTGCCCTGAGAACACATTTAAACCTTCTAACTCTCTCTTAGATCAAATGGAACCAGGAAGAGAGGACGACCACTGAACACTTATTTTAGAACAAGATTCTGCTGCCATTCTAGTTTTACACTAGGATTTTTAAGCCGTAACTATTTTCTTGAAAGAAATAATACGAAATCGGTGAGTAACCAACCTTTAAACTTTTTTTTTTGCCTTTTACCCACTTCAACATTTTGCCTTTTATAACGTTCCAGTTTTTGCGCGAACAATTGTGTAGGAAAGACTCAGCTGGCGAGAAAAAGACGAATGGTTTTGCAATTACACACAGCTTTGTGTGTGAGAGGTGAGTGGGTGTCCGCATTCTACTAAACCCGATTCAGTCCCACACTTCAGCTCGGACTGAAATAGCACTGAATGATTTCCCCTTTTCCCCAAGAATATAAATCGGTAGGTATATCGACTTTACGTACATATATCGGTTACTATGTTTTTTTTTCATTCCCTGTGAAGTTTAAAGCACATGTGTGTGTTCTAGGCGTGGAGAGAAGGACAGAATCCTCACGGATCAATTGTTCTTTCCATATCCCTGTTAACCATATGTTAGGCGAGGCAATACGGTCATGGACCCTTGAAGTCAAAAAATAATACGAGAAAAAAAATAACGAGTTTGCGAAAACAAAGCACGAATGAACATTTGAATTACTTATTACTTGAGGGCTTAAGCAACGATAGCAACTATATAGAAGAGCATATAGTCTATTCTGCGACGAGGTACCTTTTAATCTGTACCATTCCAATTCTAAATAATATTATTTTAGGGTATATAATAGCTTTTTCGTAAATAAATATTATACGCAGTCTACTGTGGTTTAATATCTCTTAGAATTCCAAGTGGGCTAGTTTGCTATTTTTGCAAAATAGAATACAAATTGGTGACTAAATAAAAACAAATTCAATCTGCGCGTTAACATACACAGAATAGAGCGCTATTGTTTCAAAACGTAATTCATTAAGAATGAAAAATGCACGAAAAATGTACTTTCTAAAACACTTAAAGAGAAAAATTAAGAAACAGAATTCGACTTTTGCGGTTGTTATTTTAAAACAGAAAAGAAAGAGTCGAGAGGATATTTTCTGCTGATGATTGTCAGTGGGATTTAAAAAAAATTACAACATGGGAATATAGCAGTCATAGTATTTTTTTTTTTTCTACATTTAGTGTATATAGTATTACCGGTTATTTAGTTATTTTTTTAAGTGTAAATGTACTTCAGATAGTAACACAATGAGCTCTTCTCACATATATTGTAATTTATAAAAGCAACTTATGAAATATTTGATATTTATCCAAAAATGTTGCTTTTGTTTGTTCACACATATGTATTTAGTTTGTTCGATTGATTTATGTAATTGTTGGTTATTATTTGAGTTCTAGAAGCATTGCGTTTGTGACGGCCGCGTCTGCTCGGCCGCGCGGGAGAACCAGGCCACCATCTATTCCGATTTTCAGCCATCGCGCTTCGGAATCAGCAAAGCAGCACAAATAACCGCAGGTACACGACTCCCGCGTACTATTGCTCGCATAATCCTGCACGCGGACGCGTACTTCACGTAAACGGCTGCGTTTTGATTTTGTTGTTTCCATACATAAATTTAATGTGTATCTGGAACCATACAATAAGATTTTGTCCCTTTGTGTAGTTGGGTATATGTAATATATTTTAATGTATGGTGATGTAACGATTAAAAGGTGATTATTATTGTTATGGTTATTGTTATTATTGTTATTATTATTATTGTTATTATTATTATTGTTATTATTATTATTGTTATTATTATTATTATGTTACTGCTGTATATGCTTATCTCCCACCCCTCCCTCAAAATTGCTATAAGATTACGATACAAGTGTATGTTTAAACTTTTTATTTCTTAGAATGGAGCAGCTTGGAATGTATGACAAACAGAACCTGTGATCTTTGAAGTATCTTCAATAAACAAGTACAAGCTGGGGAATTCTAAAACTCTCATACCTTGTCTCTCATATCTTATTGCATGATTCCTGTTTCACTTCCCAAAAAATGTATGAACCCAATAAAGAGAACATTGTAATCTTGGTTTTTGACATGTATTCCTTTCCCTTGCAAATGAGTTTGTAAGGAGGGCCAAACCCTGTCTCTGCATACCTCCTTGTGGAAATAGCCTACATATTGGCTGGTGGAGATAAATAATACTTTAGAAACTTATGTTCTGTTAAAACAAATAAATAATTTTGAAAGTCCATCAGAATACAAACAGTGGCGGTCGGAAGCTCGTGCCGCAGACCTTTCTAACCAGCGCGTGATTCTCGGAACCTCCAGGAGTGCAACAAAATGCAAACAAAATTCTTCACCTGGGATAAATAACTAATGAACAAATTCACATTAAAGAATATGATAAAATTTGTTCAGATACCCTGTTTGATTAAAAAAATAATAATAACGTTTACGACTAAATATGCATATCTGTGCATCCGGACTGGATCTCCTAGGTATACGGTAATGGAACAATAACACTATAGCAAATGTATAGAGAAATCCAAGCAACAAGAATGACTACTTGACTAAGCTACACATCACACATAAACAATAAAAAAAACAAGGCATAGAAGCTGCTGAATGGAAAGAAAGCTATGGGTGAGGAGGTAAGAGATTGGACGGAGTTAGAGAATATCACACCACCGCTGACGACGTCGTTACAGATGCGTCAGTTTGGGCGCTTCCTGAATTCTTCCCTGAGAGTAATGTGGAGTAAGGTCTGCGTATGTGGGGTGCGTGTCGCACGGCCCGTGGTGGTGACTGTTGCCCATAGCGACAGCGCCATTGTAGTCCATGTTGGTCGATGACGGATGAGAGAGATGCGTCAGCCCAAAAACGGAGGGCCCAGAGTTCGCCACCGGTTCTGTGTAGCCTCCACCCACATATATGGGGCTTCCTTGCAGATGAGTTCCATAGTTACCATGCGTGTCATAGTCGGGGGTGGCTGCCCCAGTACCCACATATCTTTTCTGGGAGGGCAGGCAATTGTTTAGAGTGCTGTTCAGGGGTGCCGGATATGACGTCGGTATACCATACGCATTTTGATTAGCCTTATTGTAAGACGTGGGCGACTGGGATTCATACGGAACACTGTTGACAAGAGAATGCATTGAATTGAGGTATCCTCCTCCTCCTCCTGCCGACGGGGCGACCGGGCTCCTCGGGGACTGAGCTCCGGGGGAATGCATCATTCCCACCCCTTTTTGATCTTTTTTATACTTCATCCTGCGGTTCTGAAACCAGATTTTTATCTGTCTCTCTGTAAGGTTCAGCAAATTCGCCATTTCGACCCTTCGTGGCCGGCAAAGGTATCGGTTAAAATGAAACTCCTTCTCTAGTTCCACAAGCTGCGCGCTGGTGTAAGCTGTCCGAGCTCTTTTGGAGGCAGCAGACCCAGGCGGACTCTTGTCTCCTGCACAGAGCTCAGCTGCATGGGAGAAAGAAATGCAGGTTCAATAACCAATAATACAGACGAATATTATTAATGCACCAAAGCATACATACATGATATTGGTGGTAAATGATTTTAAAATGTACACGTTTCAATGACCTTAAGAATTAATCTTTAGATGAGTTGACAAAAATAATTTCCATTGTATTTGTTTGATATGCACTGAGATGTAAGTCAAAAAACAGATTATTAGATCAATATAGCTGGTTTTGTTATCAGCGAATATGCGCTACAAGTGCAACAAATTGACACGGACTGCTATCTGTATTACTCTAGTTTCACGCAAAGCATGTAAATACAACCTATTAATAACGCAAAGGAAGAATCCATTCTATGGGATGGACCATGAGCCCTGATCACTGCCGGTATGTTTGCTGTAAAATAGCGTATCCTGTGTTGTGAAACGCATATGGTATCCGCTTGGCGGGGCTGTTTGTCCTAGATCTCTTTCCGTAGATGCATGCGTGCACATTTGTGTGAATAATTCGCATATAGTTGCGTCGCTTTCGCTGGAGTCACCTGACAGCAACCCCGATAGACTTACAGGTTTACCCACTGAGGTGGGAGTAAACCCGCTATCATATGTCACTATATAATTATTATCAACAGGAGTATATGCATTATGACATACGTATCGATTATCATCACGATATTATGAAATTTATGTCAGTAAACCTGCACAACTCATTATTATTGTTATTGTTGTTATTATTATTGATGATGATGAATATAATAATTATAATATTTGGTATAATGTCAAGATATCTGGTGAATTAAGTATGACATTAACCAATGAGGTCTTTTTAAAGTTTTTGCATCGAACATTGTCGTTTTAGATATAACTGCAGAACGCCTATGTTTCTGAAAATGTTGGACGAAAATGAAATATTACAGATGCATTAAAAAAAACGAATGGAAAACATTCCACCAATCTAACCGAAATGTTTAAACACGATTCGAGTACGTTTCCTTTTAGTTTACGTTATATTAATACATGAATTATTATTATTATTATTATTATTATTATTATCATCATCATCATCATTGTTGTTGTTGTTGTGGTGGTGGTTGCTGTTGTTACATTCTCAGCCTATAGTGGCTTTGACTGAATTCGCATGGCCTACTAGACAGAAACGCCCTGAGTTTTGTAGACGGTGTTTAGTCAGATGGCGTTAGCAGTTGCAGTTCCCTTATTCAACCCCACCTATACTTTACGCGGAAACCTTTCTTATTATAAAATAATATCAATCAGGTTTCGGTATGATAACACCGCACCCAATACAAAACCTACGGTTACAAACAGAAATAGCTATTTAGTTTTTTTTTGGGAGGGGGGGGGGCGGTGTTTCAACAACGGTGAATTTTAACATCAAAGAATCACCTACCAAGGTTAACCTTACCTAAGCACTGATCATTACAAATAAACAAATAAACACTAACCGAACGTGAGTACATTAGGGGTAAAGGAAGGCCGAATCTAACTATTCGTTCGTTTTTAACATAAGCTACGTCTGCCGTTTATAAGCAAGTAAGCAAATAGATGTTTGACCTTGCGAACAACATTTGGCTATGCTTATCCATTTATCAGATATTATTAATATGAAAACTGACTGTTAGCTTGCAATCAAAAATCGACTTATTCGAACTTCAAGTAAAGTACCTGAACTGGAACTATTGTTTTTTTGTTTAGCGTTCTGGCGTGACTCCTTCATCCATGGGAAAATCTGCTTCCGGGATGCAGCGGTGGGTGATCCATGTGTGGCATTCTTGGTGGTGGGGAGACTGGAGCTGTTGCTGGAGTTTTCGGTCGGAGAAACTGGAGACGGTGGCGGCGGCGCCGTGATGGGGGCCTGCTGTTGACTGTTGTCAGGGATGACAGGCGGCTGACCGGTCTGGGCTGTATTACTCCGCACACAGCTCTCTGCGAGTTCACTGGACTTCTGCAGAGGGACAGCGCCGCTGGGGGACAGCATTGAGCAGGCAGGTCGATGGTAGTCACTTTCCACATGAGAGGATGGGGGATATTGCTGCTGATTGGCATTATAACTGAAACCATTTGCTCCTTGATATGGGTAGCCACTGTATATTGCAGAGCTGTCGTAGTAGGTCGCCTTTTGCATTTCGCCGTTTCCCAATATTTATTTCAGAAACTGACAGGGTCTTGACACCCTTGTAGACTAACATTGGCACCCGGTGTCACGTGACGCCGTTCCGCCAATGGCCTCCTCGGGTAGACCTAGGGTTACAAGAAGCACGGTGAGATGGAGAAATGGTGTCGATCCATCTTACTTTTCAATACCCGGCTGACACGAAAGACTATAGAGAGAAATATGTAGGACATTTCTGAAGCAATCACAGTTTAGCCTAAAGGTACACTTACAGCACAGGGGCCAGCGTGGGCTCTCAACACATCGCGTGTTCATGCGGTTATTAAGTAACGTTTGAAAATTCTTAGCTATTCCAATAACAATACAACTTAACGATATGACACGCGCATTTCATTATATAAATATAATAATAAATATTTTCGTGTAATCATTGTAAAGTGAGGATGACTGCCTTCCTTTAAAATAGTAAGCGCTCTTTTACCTGGCTTATCTTTCATAGCTCATTGCACTTCAGAACTTAAGCTTCTTGTTTATTATTATTATTCGTAGTAGTAGTCGTAGTAGTATTGTAGTAGAAGAAGTAGTATTAGCCTTTGAGTTTTTGTTGGGGCAACAAATGCACAGATTACGTAGAACTCTAAAATCTTCTAAAGAAATCTCTAGCTGTAACCTCCACAGGTCCGTATGCGGTCACTCCAAAAAGGAAAAACTCAACAAATGCACTCTCTACCTTCGAATGTGTAAAACAAAGATGAATTGAAGACCTTAAGGAACCTGAAAACCCGAGCGCTCATCTCCATGACCACGTCTTGAACTTTTCTTCCAACCCCACAATAATGGGTTGCTGTCCGCGAGGCCGTCTTAGGTTGATGTATGGGGGTCAGTGGGCCGAGACAAGACACCGCAGACGGCGGCCATGGATGTATTCTGTGATAGCGAGCCTTCTTCGGGAATGCCAGTAGCTCGCTAAACAAACCAAGGCGCATAGCCGTATGCAACGTAGCCACAAGGAATAAAAACCGTATACAAATTAATTTCAGTACTGCTGCAACAATAGCTTCAATTTGATAACCATGCGTAAGTTTTTTGTAAGTAAAAATTAGCAAAAGTCGTAAAACATTACTATATATAAAGGCAGTCTACAATTGCAATTTATAAAAATATACTATTAAAATATATTTAGGGCGTGTAATATCTATACATTTTCCACGAGTGTTTAATACTTAACTTGCCTCTCTGCATATAAAGTTGAACTAATTTGACGATGTTGTAATGAAATAAATTCTTTTAATGAGGTAGTAATGAAACACCTAAGCAATTAATTGCCTACTTATGACCGAACAATGTTCCGAAGCGCCCGTTAGCTGTGCCCTTGCAGAGTGCATTGAATGTTAAACTGTAAAAGCTAGGCGAGATGATATGAAGCCCAGTAACTCCTTTATTTAACATAGATAACATGCAAGTCAGAAATGCTTCAGAACATGTAGCTGAGTTGATTAATTTAGTAATCTACCCCACGCCATAAAATTGCATAAAACTGAGACAAAATTTCTGTTAGCGGAAACCTTGGAATGGTTTGGGGGTGTTTTACATGTCCCTACACGAGTTTTCTCGCAGTCAAACCAGTATTGCGGGAATAAAAAAAAGGATCAGCGTTCAGGGAAAAAAAAAGAAAAACAATAGTTAAGTTAAATACATTAAACAAAACTTGAACCCAAACAAAGACGATTGTACTAAATATCTATGTTAACTATCAAGTAAAGTAACAAAATAACAATAAAAGGGAAAAAACAACTAAAACAACAATTTAAAAACTTATAAATGAGAGATCTATTTTTAACAACTAACGAAATGTTAAAATCAATTGCACAACAAGCTAAACAACGGATTTTGAAATGTGTTAAAGGGAAACACTTAAAAATGTAGCGACTATAAATAGCCGCAATCAATTTTCTAGCGTTCAAACTACAGGCAGAAAAAATACTCAAAAGCTTACAAAAAAAAGCGTTTGTAGAGGAGTAGTTTGAACATTCGCATATCAGGTCCTGCACGAGAGGAAGAGCAAGCTTGTGAACTCTTCTTGAACCTAGATTTAAGTCATACGGTCATAAATCACCAGGACATAAACTCCGCCATTTACAACCGATAGCCTATTTCTGGCCTGCTTACCTTATCCTCTGACGACAAATGCAGAGCACAACACAGTATTTTCTCATTCAGTGACAAAATCGATTGAAAGGTAGTCCAGGGGAAGTTTAACGAGGCAGCGCGTGCACTTGCCGGAGTCATCAACAAAAAGAGGAAGACCCGAATGTCTACGCCGGTAAAAACGAAATCCCTTTCTTAGTGTGGATCGGTAAATCGAGATTAGGAAGACGAGCGAATCTTGGTCAAGGAGATAAGCACTATCAGCTCCGACGGCTGCAGTTATCGCATGCTGAAGAAATGCCCATGTTTCATACCGATATTAAATGTAGCAAGGGCTGTACTGAAGTGTGTCTCATTGCAGAAGTACTATGCAGAAGCCAGTGAACTCCCCCGAAACACAGCGTCACCATAGACAAGAAAAATTATGCAAATGAAGTGGTGCCTTAAATCCACACAAGGCCGAATGTTTTCCACCAATTCCATCTAATAGTGGCTAATTTAAAAGGATTTTCAATAGCACCACTCTTCCAAATGTATCTAGGCGATTTAACGCATTTTTTTTAAATTGAAAGGATTTTTAAATCTTTGAACGAGATTTTTTGTAAGTCTTAATATACTCGAAGACAAAGTCTGCGCAATCCATTGTCTGTTAGATTTCATTAATAACGCAAAATTTGTTAGCTTTAATTATTTTCTGATTTTATTTAGTTTATGCTAAAATACATTCTCAGTTAAAACGAGTAAAATGCGCCTTTACTTCTTGAATTTATTTAGTTTTATTCCAGTTCTTCTCTATAACAGTGGGGAAGGAGCAAACCAAATTTATGAAACATTTCTGATGAAGAATGGCTACCAAACGGCTGGTATGCAAGACCCCCCCGTTGAGTGCAAAGTGGCAAAAAATGGAAAAGTTGCACCTCCAAAAGGAAAATCAGAAGAAGGCGAGAGACAGAGGGGCTGTGAACTGGGACTCCTCTGCATACGAAAGCCTTTGTGTCGTCCGTAGCCAAACGTAAGATTTATGGCTTCATGCATCACAGCAGTAAACACGTCGAAAATAGAACTTAGGGGAGCTCAGGGCTTCCAGCGAAGAAGTAATCGCTGCACAAAAAGAATAACGGACGACGTAGGTGGGGAGAAAGCGACAAAAATCCACACGTGAGCATTTTAGCAAGCGGTGTAGTAGCATTTTAACTGAAGGAGTTGGGAATAATCACTTACTGCTTTGTGTTATTTAAGTGATGATTCAGGTTTTTCTTTACTGCCGCGCTAAGTGTCGGGTTAAATGTCACTGGAACGGATTAAGAGGGTGGGTGGTTTCATGGTCTTGTACTCTGCGCCTCCAAGCTCGACCCGAAGATCAGAAGCATTTGGTGTATATTTTAATAAATCCAGCTTGTTGTTCTTGCACCAATTGTTGCTGCTCAGTTTATTGCTGATCAGTGTTTTCTTAAAACTGCTGTCGTGTCCGGAGGTGTGATTTACCCCCATGCAGTAGCCTAAATGTGACAAATTATGCTACAAAGAAAAGCGGCAAGCAAAGCAGCATTAGCTGGGAAGGTAGCGACATATTCCCATCATTCCAGTTTCTTGGTAAAATTAACAGCAACGGTTAGTGTGTTAATTAAAAAACAATTTACACTTACCAAATGGCAGGAAGCTTCTTTGCAAGGTCGCAAATCGTAAAAGCTTTATTTAGGAAGAAATCTGTAGGAAACAATAATACATAGTATGTAATAATCGCATGACGCCTTGCAAAAACGGACAGGTGATACGAATATTTTGGCTTATTAGTTGACTAGTTTAGTGGAGTTAAAACGAATGAATTCATCCAGGGATGCTTGATTTAATGTTGGTAATCATGAATCATTACTGCTTTCATTGGCGCATTAAAGAGGAATAAAGTTTTTGAAACAAAATGTCCAATTATTATTACTAACAGTTGGTAATGTTGCCTGAGCGAAAATCTAATTTTTCGAAAGCAGGTTAGTGCAAAGTTTATCCTTAATTTCACTATATTTGTTACACGTTTGTGATTCAATTTGAATCAGTTACAATTTAAAAGAGTAACTATTTTCAATAGGAATTAAACGACAATATAGTATCATTGTAATTATCCAATAATAATAATGATGATGCTGATAATAATAATAATAATAATAATAATAATAATAACAATAATAATAATAATAAATTTAATGAGTTTTAGGGATCATTTGTGGATCGAGCGGTCATTAGTCGGCTTTGTGAATGGCTCTCGCAGCGGCGGCTGTCCCAAGTCCCAGAGACATAAATCACGGCGAATGCGTGACCTCGTCGCGGCCGAGCCGCTCTTGGATTGCACTCTGTATTACATTATATCCTCATTTTGCAAGCGGAACAGCATTATCTTTCGCTATATTTTCCCGAACTTTTTTTTTTGTTATATTATTTGATTTATTCCACCTTTTGTACACCTGTATATTAAAGAGCTGATCCACTGATCCAATATGTATATGATGTGTGTGTATATATGTGTGTGTGTTTGTATATATATACAATTTCAAATGGAATCAAGTAATTTACTCTTATCAATATATATATATATATATATATATATATATTCCTCATATTCTTCATACCCGTATCTTAAACAAACAGTTAATTTTAACTGTTATAGCACGTTCTATATGTCGTCACAGTTAAACTATGGATTAGTTTTCTAGGCCAATTCATTAACTCACAAAGCTGCAACTCTGTCTTGAGCGGAAACCAAAATGCTTAATACTAAGGCCTATAAAAAGAAGAATTATATACATACATTTATATGATAAGAGAATTGACCGTCAGCGGAAATCGTTATAGTGGGAGGCAGCCGTGCCATTTCGTTTCTCGTGAATACAAATCCACATATATGAGTGAAGAAAAAATATTAAATAACTGGGTAGCCGGCATTGTTATCTAAGACACCGCAATGACAACAGTCCTTAGGATTTCCATTTAAAAAAAAAAACTCCATCTGAGCGCACCGGTATTGTTGCTCACGCCGTTTTTTTCGGCGAGCATTGAGCTTCATTACTAACCTTTGCCTTGAACAGCAATAACTCACGACAGTAATGAACAATCAACGGAAATACCTCAAAATAAAATCCATCCTCCCAAAGCAGGGGTTTTTCTCTCTCCGCCTAGAAAAACATATCCATCCGTGAGAGCGATGATATAGCATCCAAAAAAAGGAGCCCCTTCTCAAGTAAAGTGCATGAAGCCCCGACTCCAAACAGAAAATGGGAACGTGTAATCAGCATCGCATAGCCAGACCGGGTCTCCGATGTTACTGGCACAATAATGCGCCGTATTATGCGTTCACTCACGTGGTGCTACGTCAACTTAGACCCTTTTATTTGAATCTGTGACTCATTAAAACATAAATTAATTGAGTCAGAAAAACGCAAAGAAGAAATACATTTAATCGAAGCAGCTCCTGTCAATTTCAAATGGAATCATGTAATTTACTCTTATCAATAAACCTGCTCATTCAGGGTACATCACATATTAGTCGATAGACTTGTTTCTTCGGTGCTTCAAGTGAAACACATTTGGACTGTGTTTTTATAACGGGTAAAGTATTGTTATGAATTGCGGGAAATGATTCTCGCGGCGGTGTTACAATTTGGACGATGTGAAGCGTTTTTTTTTCCGCGAGGAAGCCCCTAATGTGCGCTCTGAGGATCATTCGCCACTCCAGTCGCCTGTTTTATAGATTCATTGTGCAGCGCGCGCTCCCCCTCCCGTACGGTACAGTGGGGTTACGTTACTGAAGCACGGCGTGAATAGGTACCGGAAACCAGTTTAAATCGAACGCATACTCTTGCACAGATTGTGGAGACCCGGCGAATCAGTCTCTTACACAGCCTATTGCTTATACGACTGACTGAATGATGCTGGAAATGGCTTTGTAACTACAACTCAGATTCAGACAAGATATTACCCGACGAGTCAAATGGTAATTATAAGAACTTATGAGGTCAATAAAAATTACAGTAACGTTTAATTTTTGATCAAACACCTTTAGTGCTATTAAATTACTATTGACAGTAAATGAGATACAGTGTTGATGTTTACGCGACATAAATTTGATACATTTGTGATCGTAAAGCAGACCAGGTACTAACATTGGACGGAAAGTGGGTACTAAATCAAACGTTCTCAGCTCAGTTTGCTGCTTGTTTCCGCCAACATGGGGTGGCCTCGCAGCTCAGCGCTCGACTGGGAAAGCTTACTAGGATGATAAATCATTTAACCGGACACCAGCCACATTACACTCATACTCTCATGCTCAACAGCCTTTGTCTTCACAGACTCTAAGCAAGAGTAAGTGTAAAGTTCTATAAGTCTCACAGGACGACCCATAATTTATTTATTTTTTTTAAAAATGCACGTGTGGACATTTAGCACACGAAAGAATCGATATATGTTTAATTTGTATTTATGACTGTTCTAAACAGTCTCCACGTGCTGCGTTTGGATAAAATGTCCGTGATGGTAAAAAATGGCGTGTCGACTGACCTGCGTCGGACCATCTGTTTATAAAAGAAAGAAAATATAATCTTCATTTTGAAGTACCCATTTTCTGGCCAGAGATACAATACTATCAAATCACATGGGCACGTGGACTGCTGTGTCTGGATATTATTCTAAAGCGTCACTTTTTTGTGGACGAAGAAAAGTGCGATCTCACTCGATTTTATTTCTGCATATTAGGTTTGACCCCCCGGAACATTAGCTGGTCGTTGTATGACGGAAAGAAAAGAATTAAATGTTGGATTATTGAAGTTCGTTTTCTCAGTGTATTATGTTAACATTTTGATTAGTTGCAAATAATAAATCTCATGTGAAGGAAGAAAGGGCAGCGTGGACGCCATTTCTTTGGACACGCGCCAGACGTTTGTACATATCTTCCCACAATGTTGACATTCAGAGCTATAAAAGCAAAGCTAAGGTTACCGACGCACTCATCTGAAGATAACTGTATGTTTACATCAACCATCAGGACGGTGAATGGGATCTTCAACGGCTACAATGAACTCATTCCAGAACATTTTTATTGCTTTGGAATGTTAATTAGGAGTACTATGTATCCGAAGTCGTTCTAAAACTTTTTTTTAAACTTCAAGGTACATGACTGTTCTTTGCTGCATGTAACTTTGCATTTTAGTGTATTATAATGGTAATCTTTTGGTGATATTAAACTCGTTATCTCGGAAGTGAACTTATGCCGGTTTAATTTCCAATCGGAATATTAAAATAAGTTGAATCCGTGTTAATTGATTCCAGAGATTGAGGTAAGCAAATTAGAAAGCTTACATTTTCGCATTACTAAAGCTATTGCTATGATCATGAAAGCAAAACACGCTATCTATTACGAATACCGCAATAAATGTACGGTTGATATTTTTTCCTCCATTTGCATGGTGTTAATTTATAGCCAGCTTCGTGTGTAGAAGCCCTGTAAATGTTTAACAAGTCCACAACTGAACCTTTTCTTCTCCAGGTCGCCTTGCTTACCATCGAGTTGCCATTTGGCATCTGGTGGGTTTCTTCACAAAACCAGCTCACTTAAGTGCAGAACTGCACTAAACCACAAATAACTGTTTATAATGTTCACGACAAAGACATTTTACTTCGAATTGCTTTTAATTATGTTTTTCAAGACTTCATTAGAACACTTTAGGTTTATATGTATACGGACATATAGTGTAATAACACATCTATAAACAATTGTTATTTTAATAATTTATATCATCAAACATTTTAAAAATATTCTAAATAGTCAAATTTAATGTAGGACCGTAAAATTCTGTTCCGCAAAGTCTACATTTAAAAGCTATATTGATGTTGCCGATGTATGCAATATAAAATATCTCTCCATTACAAAAATTAGGCTACCCAGTGTTGCTAGCGTTACGTTAAAACAATAATAATAATAATAATAATAATAATAATAATAATAATAATAGTAAGGGCCATTTATGATTTCCGTTTTTACGGATGAAGTTTTAAAAATTATGCCTATCTGATTTCAGTTACTATTAAAATGCAATGCCTCGGGACAGATTTACCCTCCATTTGAATTTAAAGATCATCTGCGCCCTGTAATGCAACTTAAAGAATCCTGATGTTGGATACTTGTCAAGTTCTGTGCCAAGCGTATGTTTTTTTTTATCCTTCCATCCTTTTCGTTTCCTGTTTTTTTTTTTTTTTTTGCAGTTATCAAGGCTGACATTTAAACCTCACTTGTACCATTAGCTGTTGCTGAAGCATGCATTAAAAGCAATAATGCTACCGTTTCCCCAAATCATTCAGGTGTTTTGTAACCTTGCTTCATTTTGCTTTGAACCGTTACAGCACGTGCCTGGAGCTAGAATTAGAAACTTTGGTTTCTCTGCCATTTTCATTTCCAGAACACACAGAATTAAATGTATGGGAAATAAATTATAAAGCAGCATCGATACGTCAAACTTAAAACACTAAAATTTGCTGATCATTATCAAAGTTTAATGGGAAAGGTTGAATAGATATCAGAAACCATATAATTTAATGAAAATAATCTGATAGGTAGTACACTCACACAGCAATGCCGATTTCCTCTCCCATTCCAGATCATCAGAGTAGGGAACACGAATCTCCCATCGCAGAAGACCACATGAAGTGAAAATACCGGCGACTTCGAATCTATTTCAGAACACGGGTATTAATTATTTAATGAGTCACGTGAAGGAGTAGATTAAAATTTTAGCACAAGAAGATAAGGGTGACCTTTGTCTGTATCTTTGATAAATTTAATCATATTCTGTAAAATAACTGAACATTCGCATTCGAGATATTGAGATTTCTCAGAATAATTAAAATCAGGCGATGGGTGGAAGCTCCGCCTTCCAGGAATATCGATACATTGGAACAGGTGAGTCCTGCTTATTGTTAAAGCCTGACGTGAAACCTGAAGTCTTCACGTATAACTTTACGCATCGTCATAAAACTTTTACGCAATAGTCTCACAGATGGACGTTATATCTCGGCTGAATTACAAGTAATGTATAGCCGTGGAAGATAGACTAGCTTTACTGGCATCTATCAAAACTTAGTACTTCCATTTAAAATCAATTAGTTTTCTTTTTTTCCTCATTTACTGTAATATTATTAAAATCTATGGAATGTTAAAGAGTTCTCTTACCCCTATTAATGGAAATAGATCGTTTTGTTGTTATATGTGATTTTGTTTCCGCACAGATTTTGTTTTTCCACTGATTTTAATGTACCTATTTTCCAACAAACGCGCATACATGTCACAGTTTGCATAATTAAAATAAATGCATTCACACATTTTTCCTGTCGTTTATGCCCTGAGCAGGGTAGGTCTGGACATTGTGTAAAAAGGTCAGGGGTCATGCAGCCTTTCAACTCGATAATTGGACAAAAACTCTGGCCTTTCGATGAACCCGAGATTCGTACAGATGAGACAGGTTCGGTCCATGTCTCCCACTCAGTGAGATGGGCCGGTGGCTGATACAGCGACTCCAACCACAACCAAGCAATAAACATTTAACAGTACCGGTTCATTTTGCTTTAGAGATTAATTAAATAGGTGGTCTGTGTATAAGAAATCAAATTTAAGAGTTTAGCTGCAATGAATATAATTACGCTCAAAAAAATAAGGAGTTCGACGTGAAACGACTAATTGAATCGGGACGCCTTTCGCTGGTGAGCTCCAAGAAATTTCTGAAGCCGAATCGTTAACAATTATACTTTTACATATATGATTCGTGAAAACAGGAAACAAACAATATAAAGCCATTTTATTACTATTTATTGTTTAGACAATATCCATTGATCAGTCATCCTTGGCAAGAGTCAAGGTGAATAGTATTTTTAAAGGATTAAAATTGAAATGTGGCAAGTAAAACAGTCTAGAAACAAGCGAATACACACTATTATTGCCAAACATTGAATAATATTACTTCATGGCAAACTATATATAAATTGTTGCTTGACCAGGCTTACATGAACAGTGAGGCTATTTATATGTATCGTATTCTGTGCGTTGATGGCTGCCACGTTAATTAACATTTTTTTTTATTTCATTCAAAATGCACTTGATGTTTATTTATTAGCAATTGTCTTGCAATCAATAAAGACTGAATACATACATACATACATGCATACACGTACATAACAAATAAATAATACCGAGACACAGAACCAGACATCTGTCAGGTAGAAAGCAGCTTGTCACCGTTCTTACGGAAAAGTAAATTATTTCCATACTATCTTTACGTGGTCAGCTTCTGCTGGACATCGCAGCATGTTAGCATACATGGCATAGCTTATTTCAATTACCTGTTTTATTTTTAAACCAGAGCGTTAATAGTTGAATCCAGTCGTCAATATTACAAAACGCATAACAGCGATAGAGTCAACTGGACACGAAAAAAACACATCAGGCCAGAAAGTCTGGACATATAAACATATTTTATTTAACTTCTATTGTGTCTTGCATAGACTATAACACTTATTTTATTATCCAAAAAACTGATATAACGTCACAGTAATGAACACAGTTCAAATCACTGCTTCACAAAACGTACACTTACGAATAGGCCTAAACACACAAAATGAGTTTTCAATAGCACTAAAGAGCCATTATCTTCACCAAACATACATAATGTACATCTGGGAGGGTCCTTTCTATTTACATAGGTCAGTCACCTGGACGTGACAGAAAATTTAACCTTAAAACAGTTAAGCTATCTATTTTCAAGAGTATATCTCAATCTACACAAAATGACGGTCAAGACACTAGATCGAGACTTCTGCGTCCTTTCAGTCTTTTCGGGATTTCAAATATATTTTGCGAAACACGTTCAAACCCGCGCTCTTAGCTATTAATAATTCAAACACGGGCAGTGAGAATAGGCAAGTGGTCATCACTTCAGAATTAATGTCACATTCTTCAATGTATGTCCAAATTCTGCGTTCGCCTCCTCGATCTGTTTGGTCAAAGGTTCGCTCTCATTCGGTTACTATAAGCTTGCTGTGCAGGGCGCTGGAACAAGCTGTTGCTGTTGACGAGTGGGTGTTTTGATTTGTTGGTGTCCAGCCGTCGAGCTGGCAGAACGGACCTTAGTATTTGGCAGTTTATGGTCTTTCTTCCACTTCATCCTTCGATTCTGAAACCAGATCTTTACCTGCCGTTCCGACAGACACATCGTGTGTGCTATTTCCACACGTCGACGTCTAGTTAAGTAACGATTAAAATGGAATTCTTTCTCAAGCTCTAGAGCTTGCTGTCGAGTGTAGGCGGTGCGGGACCTCTTGGGTACTTCCCCAGTGAAACTGGCATTCACTAAACACAAGCAAAAGCAGACAGGTGTTACTGCTAGAATACTTTTAGTGGCATCCATTAAATACATTTCACATGTGTGTGCAGAGCTAAAACGCGCGGATCGCGTAGGAGGCTACGCTGTCGAATAGTCTGAACTATGCGTGTGCAAGATATTTAAATAATTAACAAAACTGGTGGTTTATTGCGCCTTGGCGACTGTCCAACCAAGAGAGATAGTTTGGGAAACAAAGAATCACAAGCACATGGCCCAGACAGTGGAACAGAGCAATAAAATTTATGAGGGTCGTTAATTGTTGACCTAACAGTTTGGTGCTCGTAAATAACCCGAATGTTGGGCTCATTGCTACAGTGATTGTTAGCACGTTCGGATGGATGACTGACGACGGATTCAGCATAAACCACGGCATTAACTTACCGGTGTTAACGTGCACCTTTTTCATCCAAGGGTATACCACGGGTTCTTTCGCCTTCTGTATGTGCGTAAATGTGTCGTTGGAGAGACTAGAATCCTTGGTAATGGCTACGACACCTTCACTGCTCGGAATCCGCAGGGGATCCGAATTCTGACGACCGGACTGGGTCTGAACATGACCTCCTTCGGCAAAGCCGTCCAGTCCAGTCGAAGTGGCATTGAAGTCGTAGTTTGATTCCGTGTAGTTTGACCGCTGGTAGGTTGCCTCATCGTGATTAGAGAAGCCTGGATCTTTCGGTCGTTCGTAGTACTCAGAAGGGGCAGGAAGGTATCCATTCTGCTGATATTCCTCGCATGGAGGAAAAGATGGTTCCATGTAGTTTGAGTTTATCAAATATGAACTCATGGTCATTAATTTGTGAAGTGCAATATTGCTAATTTTTATCGTGCTTTCGTTTTTCTGATCTCAACAAAAAACCCTCCTACTCCTGTCAAATGTACAAAGTTGGAAGATCACGTGAGACAATCCACCAATCACTGAATCTCCAGTGGGCATCGCGTAAAGAGACACCAATAGAAATTAGCTATGAACACAACGAAAAGACTAGACAGTCCACCTTTCCATGTTACTAATTATACCAAAATTTAAGGCAAATACAATGATGAAAGATGTTCTCAGTATGTTTTGTGCTGTATTACGTTTTGATGTTCTCTTTGCTTGCAAATCACTGTTGCGTTGATATGCATTGTAACATAACTGCAAACAATGTCACGTAGTATCAGAAATAAACAACAAACCATTTAATTTCTCATTTTGGTCAAATCCAATAATTAAATAATATGAATGCTTTATTTGAAGCAATATAGCATCTAGTAGCTATACACGAAATTGATAAACAGCTTTTTCAGTGTTAACAAAGGTGACTTTAAATTAGACGAAGCCGACATCCTTACGCCACGAACCTGTAATATTGCCGTGACATAAATAAATCAATGGAAATTCCATGACAATTGTTTTAAAGGCACTCAATGTATAACTACATTATGCACGTATAAAATGATTTCCTATCAATTAATGTTATATATATTGTGAATTTATGTAGCAGAGTTAGTTTTCTTACGTAAAACCGCCCAGTGACCGTTTAATACATCCTGAGTTTGCCTGTTGACAGCAATTTCATGTATATATTCTTCAATTAACCAATTTCTGAAATCTACGTGTGTTCCGTTGGGTAGAACAAGATAACAGGAATAAGAAAGGTTTAGCCTACTTTAGGAATGAAAAACTAAAAGTAAAATCAAGGTTACTGTTTCTGGTACACGACAGGAAAAAAAACAGAGAGAAATAAACGTTTTGTAAGGTTTTTGAAAAAATGTAAGGTTAAGGTCGTTTACTTGAATTCAAGTGGTGTGACTCACAACTCTTATTAGAGCCCTTTGAGCAAATTCAAATCGTGAAACATATATGAGAATGAACGCACCTTCGCCCATACTACAATTCAAGAAAGTGATATGTTAAATTAAATCATATTTTTGTCCCGGGAATTCATCCTATATAACAAACCCTCCCTTATACAGATGTTTATGATGTCTAGTATGGATTGGTTTCGTTAATCTTTGTTCCATCCAGTAATGAACCCGACGAGATAACCTGTTTTGGATATAGTGGTTGGAAGCTTGCAAACTAAAGTCGAGGTATATATTTTTTGCTTTTCTGTATGATTTACGACAATTTTAAGACAGAGCAGACTGAAGGCTACAGTCTCTGAAAATCCTATACGTAGAACTTTCAGCAATCGCCACTGTATATCACGTATGTTACTCTCTGACTGCACTAACCCAAAGGTAACAGCAGTGTTTTAGGGCAGTCTCATTAAGAACATTAAATGAGTTATGAAATCTCGATTTTCCAAGTTCCCTTACGTGATACAGGGTGTCCGCTCCATCCCTTTCGCGACCTGCTCCCATTCGACTGTCTTCCATTCGACTGTCAAACACGCGGCTACGGAAGATGGGCAGCGCTGCTCACGCAAAGCGAGCACTGTGACCACCGGCAAGCCTCAGGAAAATCAAAAATTGGGTTCTGTATCCCCTTAAACAAGCAGATCGTCTCTAACTTAATACTGACCGAAAAGTGACACCATTCCCATTTTGTCTTATTAATCTTGGACATTGACAGTCTTTGTTAAACAACAAGGCGTGTCCTTCAGGAGGCCATTTTCATATCTGTTAGACGCAGTGACCTGAAATTCACCCCAGACTTGGACTTCGCTTTCCAGGGTCTATGGGGGGAGATAACGAAGCGATGGGCAGGGGTCAGCACCCAGTTGCTCTCAAAAAGACAAAAAAAATGACTAAACGCCTTTACAAGTCATGAAGTTGTGATTTCAAAGACATTTATATCCTTTCGTATGAATATGCCAGGTCTTTCTTCAGGATAAAAAAGAAAATACTTAAAAAGCGGAATTAACGCCTATAGCATCAAATCAATACCCCCATTGGTGCGTTGCATGGGAATTTACTAAATAGCACAGTACGCATATTCACATATTTGTTTTACGGTTTGGATTTAGTGCCGAATGCCGATATTTACGATAGACCATAAATCTTAAGTAACTATTACTTTGCAATTATATTAAGCACTTGGAATTCTAAATATTATGGATATGTGCAAAAAAAAACATAGCACGTACTCATACACACGTGTCCACCTTATTTTAATTGGCTTTCCCTGATTATAGTACAGTTCTTACAAGGGAAGTCTTGACGAGCTTCTCGAAAAGCGCTTATCCTTTATCTTTATGTTTATTTTAAGTATCAATTGATCAAGACCTAAGTGTAGAACTCAATGTGCTTAAAGAAAAACGAAAAATATAATCGCAGTAAATGTAGCCATGCATATGTTCGGTTGTGTCTTAAGATAATAACATAACAACTTAAGACATGCTCTTCGTTATAAAACATGAGTGAAATTGTAAGTTCGCCCACTAAAGAGAATCTGCTTTACGTATTGAGGCCCACGTCATTAGTTATCGTAATATTTTACTTTAAAGCAATATTGCGCCCTACTATTCATATGTTCTTTGATGTATAACTTTAGTGAAATGGCCGGGATGAAATCATGCAGTACGAAAAATTAATGAAAGGAAAATCACTTTTGCCAGTTCGGAAGCATAAAAATGTGTTTATTTTATTTAAAAACCAAAACCATTATTTAGCTTACATGGTTTAAGAAAAGCTAAACTGAGTAATACTAGAGTTGAATAGTATTAAATAATATCGACTTTTATGATAAATGATTGTGATGTTACTTTAATTGATCACAGTTCAATCATTATTATATCAGCAAAGTTAGTAATTCAGAGTATATTTAAATAAATTAACTCACGTGTGTTTAATATGATCCAGGTCAGTTCGGAGACAATATCCTCAACAACGTCAACCATAATATGTGTACTAATCCAAAAACTGCTCGATTATTCGAGAAAAGACCCATATACTTAATTTTAATAGTTGGATTTATCACCAAATTAAATGGCACTTCTTAAAAAAGCATTTGTGTGTTTTTCATAAACTCTACATCATTGCCAATTTTTCTTAGTTCGGCGTAGTTAATTCTTCAAACAAAACAAGAATGAAAATGTATTCGTTTCGGACAAATCCGGGCAAACTAGACCAAGTTTATTTCGTTTAAAACCAAGTATTTTACATCTTCACAGAAGATCTATAGAATATATATATTCTATATATCTATAGAATATATATATATATATATATATATTATATATATATTTGAAATAATGTAAGACTCGTCTTAATTTCGGCAGGGCGCAATTAACCTACTTCGAATCAAATCGTAAAATCTCATTTTATTTAGTTTCAGGAATTGATTATATAATTCTGATTTATAATTGTTTCGTTCAGGAATAAAATAGGGTTTCCGTAGCTTCCGTCACCATTCCAAGGATGTACACGCGCTCCTAAGCCCACACAACAAGCAGCACATTATTACGGACAATCAACATGATCTCAGACAAATAGATGCCGTTTCCCTATACGTGTGCATTTAACATACGTGTTTATATGTTATTCTGGAAAAGAAAATACAGCCCCGGCTCGATTTCTGTTACAGATCAATATGGATTAGAAACAATTGATTTTATGGAATTTCATGGAATCTTTTCAATCCGATCACAGGAAAAAAAAAATCAGCTTTCCCAACTTAATTAATAAAATTCGTTCCCATATAACCTCAAAGCAAACCACGTTTAAGTTAATGTTACGCTTACACGCGGTGAATTTTCACCAGTTCCGAAATTGATTATTGTGCAGCGTTAGTTTGAAGTTCGTATTTGCGTTGTGAAAAAAGAAATAATAATAAGCAGACCACAAAACTAACGTGTTTTCGAATATTTTAGCAAGATACCATTGTGCACATTTGTCCTTCAGCATTTTCTATGTGTTTATTCTGACATATTATTGCTCACAATCCAGCTGTAAATGTTTTTAATTCCAAAGCAAATGTAATTAATAACTTAATAAAATGCAAAGATCACCAGCTGGTACAGGCCAGTGAGGGAGCCTCACGCCCCGCGGTACATAACCCCGGGTTACTGCGTCTCCCGGGTTCACCTGGAGTCCACCGTGATACATGTGTAATTCAAAGCTATTTTATCTTTTGTGCTGGGAGTCAAGATCGCTATTATAACGCTGGCATCAAGCCTTGGCTGAACAGATGACCAGGACTTGTCCAGCGCGTAAACTTTTGACCCCCATTTTTCCTCACGCCCATCCGCCCCAGCATCGCGGAGTGGCTGGCGGCCCAACTGTGTCTGCAGTGGCTGAAAATGGTTAGTGGTATCAGCAGAATTATAACGCCCATCATTAAGCAGTTTACGCCTGGTCTGAATTTAATCATTTGCAGATTTGGGGACAGTTATATCAACTTCAGGCCATACAGTACATTTACAACAATAAGCTACCTGTGGAATACAAAAAGTGTTAAAAAGGGGTCACCAAACTAAGTTAATCAAATATTGTGTGGCCTCACGCGTTTTTAATATCAAAGCACTCAACTAATTTCCGGTTCAGTTTGTTGCAGCGCAAGCTGATGACGGTGAACTTGGCCTAAAGCGGACTCTGCTGGTGGCTCTAAGGCTGTGCAGATTTATCTTACTGCTATTTGTGACCTCGCTGTGAACTGCGAGATGTGACGTGTTAATTTTTCTTCCCGTATACTAAATGCCGGTTTTCAGCGAGGCTAAACAGCGTCAATGAATTCTAGTTTGATTCAATCGTTTAAAACGCAAGCATCCGTGATCTTGTTTTAATAGGCAACATAAAAGCAAGTTCGTATCAAGCAGTTCTGGTAACAGGTTTAAGTGGAATTCTGAAATGTGATGATCTGAATAAACTATGCATAAAGGAACCATGGTTTGCTGCATGGACAGCGAGGCTAGAATTGTATAAGATCGAGAATGAAACGATAAAACATACGAGCAAATGTTCCGGGGGCAAAGTAGATATATTACCCATTGCTTTTAAGTGCAGGATAACTTGGAACACTCTAACAAACTTGTTAAAAATCAATGTGAGAAAAAATACATTGCGATCAAAATATATCCATTAAATATTCAATTTATTAGGTTCGTAACCTTTTGGAAGCATCAGTTACATTCAAAAAGGCTTTGGTATACTTCTCTACTTTTATCCATATAAAATCACGTATAAATCGCATCTCTGCAAGACTACAAATTCCATACACATTAAAATATAGTATGTGTCTATTTAATTATCATTCGCTCGCATTTTCATCTTACATGTTAATGTGAGAAGTAAAAAATGCATACTATTCAATTTTATTGTCTTTAACGGCATAACAAAAATAACGTCTTGCTGTGAGGAAATCTGTGACTGAAAGCCTCACGCGCAAACCGTGGTGTGAGATACGCGCCTTCTGTGATGGCGTAGGATTTCTACACCTAATGAAGATTTTTAAGAAATGTACCAAAGTACTGCTTCTGGGAGTCAATGTAGAATGGCAGCCTATTAAATATTACGTTCTACGCAACACAATTGTGTTGAGTTTTGTGGGAAACGGGAAACAATGCATGTGATGATAGATAGATAGATAGATAGATAGATAGATAGATAGATAGATAGATAGATAGTTAGATAGATAGATAAATATATAGATAGATAGATAGATAGATAGATAGATAGATAGATAGATAGATAGATAGATAGATAGATAGATAGATAGACAATTGACAGTTATCAAAATACGGACAGTGTTTCAGCAGTGTTATAATAATGTTATTTCTTGTATATAAATATTCAAATACCAAGCCGTTAACTTATATGATAACTACAATTAAAATGCCTCATTGTGGCTACTTTATACCCAGCACAACACAGCACTTACATGCAAGTAGCCTGCAGTGTGTAACGAAATAGAATCGATTTTCTCTTCAGTTTTAGTTTGAGTGACACTTTCAGGTGTCCTCTGAACTTTACAACCGAAGAAACCATCCAATGCTACAGATCAAAGGGTTTTCCCCATCAAAGGCAGGCGCTCTCGCGTTAGTTAAACTGTTATCTTTATGGCATCATAAAACCTTCGCAATTGCACTGAGTTGCGAAGGGACACATGATTTTAAGGCTACCACGTGCAGCCATTGCCAACTCATGGATACTCTCTCTCTCTGCCTACTGTGTTTTAGTCTTACCGATCAGTACTCACACTAGCAGATATTCTCAAACAGTGGATTTACAAGTCATTATCCCGCCATACTAAAATGTTTTTATCAATTCAACCCAACTTATCCGACAGGTATTTATTACGAAATCCTGAAATCGTCATGTTTCCCCCATCTGTGCTTCAACTGCGATTTGAGAAAACAAGATGGACTGGAAAGGAAGCAATTAAATATCCATGCGAGCACCCACCCATCTCTCTGCATTGATAACATGCTCAACATCTGCCAGCGCCAATATTAGGAAGATTACTGTCGTCAAATCAGCAAATTAAGTAATCGTGGGTGCACGTTAGGCGCCCTTGCAAGCATCTTGTAAGGGTGGTATGGGTGGCCTGGCTGGGCCCTCGGAACAGTGGCACAAACACTAAGTAGAACTGAAGTAAAACTTACCTTTAGCGAAATCGACAGTCTTCAAGAACTTGGCCTGAGCTTCCTCCATTGTACAGAACTCTGAAAGGAAGAGCGGCTATAATGGACATGGAACACTTACAGCCTGCAAGAGAGTCAAATGAAGCCCTGCGTCAGTACTATTATATGTTATGTGCAATATACTGTTGGATGTCAACTCCCCAAAACCATAAAACTTACTTTAATGGCACCACGTGACCGTTTATAGCCAGTAAGCCTATCTTTCTGTGCTGTGGATGATTTTCCGATTCATAGACAAAACCCCCATTCATTTGGCACCCAAATGTCGTGCAGCCGGAACTGGGATAATAAAGTTTATAGCTCCAAACTTAAATAGATTTTCAGGGAGTGGGAAGCAAGAGAAGGGACGCAGAAGCCCTCGTGTGGCTTATTGTATGGACTATTTAAGCTTCAAGCACGCGGGTGAGTACCGTAAATTCTAACAAATTTTAGCCTGTTGAATTTTACACAGCGTTATACAAAAATATCTTAAAAGTTGCTAAAACTAAAAGAAAAACATTTTTAGCGATTTAAAATGTAGAGACCATATCACAGACCTTTCGTCAAAACGTTTCAGAGTGCACAGAAAAGTATACATTATACGAATGTATATTACATAGTAGGCTACTTTCTAAAGTTTCTAAACATTTTAATTTCTAACAAGCAACTTAGCATAACCTTTGAATGAATAACACAATGTAGCGCATGAAGATGTTGCAATATAAAGTTTATTATCATCCTTGATTTTATTTCCAGTCATTCTTAAAACATTTACAAAATGATCACAACTGGGCCTTAGAGTCAGACGACAAGTCCACTAAGGACCTTCTGTCAAACACATCCTACTCGCTGCGCCCGGAACACATCTTTGTGAAGAAAAGGATACAAAGGCACAGCTATGACAGACTGGGTCGGAACCGTCGCTCAGTCACGTATTCACAACACATAACATTTACAGTACAAGGTAGGTAGTATTTGTGATTACAGAGAAAACAGCCGTCTCTTTGACAGCTTAGCGCAATACATTAAACAAACACAAACACACGAGCATAACACAATTATTCATTAATTCTTCACTTGTTCAGTTAGAGTGCAACACATAACTTCTGCTGGCAACTAAACGGGCTTTACGATTTTACGATTCACTTCTTTATTAAAACAGCAAATAAGTTAAACATATACCCCCATTTGTTTACACAATTACCAAACAAAGTTTTACAGGAAGCAGTTCTACTCACTCGAAGCACTAACACGGCCAAATGAAAAAGAAATGGCTTAAAATGAGTGACACAGGGTGCGTTCGGCCCCATAACAGCTCATGGGAAGTCTCTCACGCGCCGTAGGGGAAATGTTCCCTTCTTCTGTCAGTACTTTTTGGAGCTCAAAAAAAATTATGGACGGTACCCGCCTCCCGCTGCCCCCATACTCATGCTTTTGAGCTTATTGTCTTTTTTCCATTTCATCCTCCGATTCTGAAACCAGATTTTAATTTGTCTCTCAGAGAGACAAAGGGCGTGTGCGATTTCAATCCGCCGTCTACGGGTCAGGTACCTATTGAAGTGGAACTCCTTCTCCAGTTCTAAAGTCTGGTAGCGCGTGTAGGCTGTTCTCGCCCGTTTCCCTTCAGGTCCGGCCAAGCCGTCTGTCATACAATATTCCATCATTACTACTTAAATAAAACAATCAAACATGCTCAGAGTGACTATCAAATTAGTATTGCCCTTGAATTATTATTATTACTAATTATTATACATAATATAACGGCAACTTTAAATGTTAGAAACAATATTAAAAAAACATCTTTAAAAATCAAGTGAAGAAAACGAAACATTACCAGTACAATTTCAAAACACGCTTTAGAGGAATTATAAAACATTAAAAAATTTCACGGTCGTTCTCTTTAGAAAAAAATCAATGCGACTCTCACATGTATTTTGTAATTGAAGGATAATACTATTAATAGACCCTTATTTGCAGAAAACGATTCCCTTTCGGAATGTTATTACTGTACTCATACCACATCATATAACATATTTTTGCGAAAATCGTACTTCCGCATTCTAGACAAAAACGAAATCATTACGGAAAAATAAAATTTAAACGGTCGATCGCTGCGGCCGAAAAAGCAGCCACATATCCGGCCAGTAGCTTTAGCTCTACACCAGTTAGGCAAATTCGTTTAGCTTTTAGGCGGTATGTGCTTTATATATAGGCACTGAAATACAGAAACACGCTCAAGCTAAGACAAAGCAAGGAACATACACCAAAAGAAATAAGAATTACCGTGACTTATATGTAGTTTTCGCATCCATGGGTATATCTGGGGTTGGCCAGTCTCCGTGACGTTTTGTGAAGTTGTCTGAGCGCTTCCCGCCGGCTTGTCGTCTTCTGAGGCGGACGTCTTGGAAACACCGTCTCGGCTCAACAGCGTACAGCTGTTGTTTGAACTAGATGAAGTGGCGGGGTTTACAATGGAGTTTTTAACAGCGCGGTGACTTTCGCTGACAGGAGAACTTGCGACAGAGGAGCACGGTATCGGGTCAGGTGGAGGCGAGTGAGACGCCGTCGCTGCCTGATTGTACCTGGTCTCAGCAGATGCGGCTGTCGCACTAGGTGTGTAGCCTGGAGCCCGAACACTTGCGCCAAAGTGGCTGGTGGTCGAACGCCCGACACTGAGGTCCATCCCATTGTAGCCATAGCCGTACCTGCTGGAATGCATGCTCGTTGAATCCCTGTATTGCTCGTTGGCTGAGCTCTGATCTCCATAATTATGTAACTGGTACTCCGCGCCATTAGGATAGCGACCGCAGAATGAATTCACAAAATAAGAGCTCATTTGTTGACAATAATTATATTGTTGTTATTATTTTGAGCAAATAATATGTGTGTGCTTGATTTGTGGCTCTTGATGGTTTTGTGCGTCTATAGCACCCCTGCACAATTTATGATGAATTATGGAAATGACTGGGACATGTACTTGATTCCCTCCTACGTAGGCATCCAAATATGGGTTACGACTTAGAATCACGTGCTTTTGTTGTCCAGTCGTAAATCCTCCTTGATGACCTCCAGAGGTAAACTCGTTCACAAATAGGAAAGCTGGGTGGATGCTTGCGGGGGCGCGCGCTTCGCAGGAGCGCCCAGATCCCGACTTTCGGCTACGCTTATCGTCGTGCGCCACCCCCTGGAAGTATAGAGAAACTGTAGCCGTTGCTTTACGCGAGTGAAGACCGGGGTCACATAAAGGTTAGAGCATCTCCTTTCGTTTCTACTGCTAGACACATCCAGACGGCGCAAAAGACGAAATAAAGACAACTTTGTAAAATTTCGTAGGTGCAATGAATACAAAACCACTAAATGACCCGTCAATAAACAGTATATTTTGTATAGTTTAAAAAAAAACTGATCAATTGATTTAAGCATTTAAGCTTGGAACCTTTGTGCGTCGTTAAATGTAAAAATGTAAAATAAATGAATAAATTTAACTTAGACTAGTAGCATAAAGCAGACATGAGCATAGTCCTCGTCTATAACCATTGTGTCTCGTATATTTCATGATTTATACATTGTAATCTTGGATACGTGAAAATGTTTCCATCGCACATGACTTTAAAATGGCTAATTAAATATTATGAAAATGCATTATTTTCTTTGTATGCATTTTAGTATAAAATTCGTTTTAACTCCGGTATCTAAAGAAAATCTTTAAAATTAATCATGGAATTTTACTGAAGTACATTTATTTCGGGTCAGTAAATTAATGAAACGGTTACGTCTCAGTACTGAAATGGCAGTAAACGAGTGTCGGTGCTTATGGCAGAATATTTCAACAGCATTACAATATCAGAAATGCTTGAAACTAGCCTGACTTTATATTGCTGGGTTTAATATTAACAACGTAAGAAAATATAGAAGAACAGAAGTAAGAAAATATAGAAACCAAAAGCAAAGGCAATCGCCACTGTTTCGCTGTCTCAGGAAAGTCTGATCACAGTTACGTTGCATTTAATCGTTCGGTTCACTCATTGCTATGATTTAGTAATACTTACAAAGGGAGTGTATGTTGGATTTTGTTTTGGATGTGTGAAACGGTTCGTTTTTCGTGTTTCCAAAACAATATATTTCCGAGAAATATAATTTTATTAAAATATAATTGGACATTAAAGATACTGTTAAATGTTATCATAAACATTGAACATTTTATGTCCGTTATACATACATCAACTACAGCAGCAACTGTTACCGTTTTGTTGCTGTTTTCCGTAATTTTTATTAGGGGTATTTATATTCTTGGTGCCGGAAGTAGTTGAAATGTTATTATTAATAGATTAAAATTAAAATATGACTATATCTTATTATTTAAAAATATTGCATTCAATTGAGATATACGACGGAAGAGATCGCAGTCCTTTCATTTGTTTAGTTTATGTTTTACTGCGGATTTAGCGACGTTGAAATGCACACCCTCGTATATAGCTGTCTGTGACGTGCTGTTTGGTTCATTTTCTCCAAAGAGTTCATACATCAGATCGCTTGTTAAAGTGTCGGCGTGTATTATTTGTATTCCTGGAATATTGTAAGTTATGCTCGCGGATGACAAGGGAAGGCTTTACATTTTAAATAAATGTGTTTAAGGCCATTAGATTGTGACACGGAGAGAGCAGAACGGTGTACAACTATGAATTTATTCATAAGAAAGCTTTCTTAATCGTTTTCTTAATCGTTATGATATTTGTAATGGTGGATGGTATTGTACTAATATACCATCATAAATTAAATAAACAAATGCGAAAGCAGCAAAATTGATCAGCTGATTTGGCAGCAGCCAATAGAAAAGCAAGTAAACGAGACAAAATCCGGTACAAAAAATGATGTAAAAACTAAAGCGGTTTGAAAAATGTTTATTTGTGCCCACAAACATAAATCAGGGAAGGCTTTAATTGTTCTGAAATTCAAATCCAAAATTACAATCCAAAAAAAAAAACCTGTACCTCCAACGGATAGACTGAAAAAAAAATCTAAACGTATTTTTTATATGACAACACACTTTCCAGTCTACGCAAACTGTTTTGGGGTCAAATCAAATCTACCAGACTGAAATGAAAAACGGCCTCTTAAACAGTCATTTTTCACTATTTATATATAGATGTGTATATCCCATTGTATGCCTGCATATTTATAGATGTCCATACCGACGTATTGAACTGTACTGTTCTGCATATTGTTTTGTTATTGTATCAAGTAAAATTTAAACAAATATACAATACATATAATTTTCCTTTGTTGTCTATTTTTTTGTTTGTCTATCATCCTTCTTATTTGTTTCTACAACTAATAAAGACAGACACTGCTCCATTTCAGGATTACTGTAAGTATTGTTGCATAAATGCACTTGCAATTTTTGATGATTGTGTATAGATAGATAGATAGATAGATAGATAGATAGATAGATAGATAGATAGATTACTATGTAGCATGTTCTTTTGTTATTATTATTATTTACATACTGTTTTATTATATGTATTGTTAGAATAAACATAATTGCCACATTCTGAATTGCATCATTTTATTCATGATTACTGTTTTTGGAACCTAATAGGCTTCCTAGTGAAGTTGTGGACTAATAATCTGAAGTACGTGTTTTCACTTGTGATTAATTTGTTTTGTGTGCAATATATTAATATTGTGAAGGTAATGTGTTGAGTTGTATTAATGCATGAACATGCTTATATTAAATAATGCGAAATTACCAAAAAACAGTAAAGCCTCTGTTTTTACAGCACAATTCACATAAACCTTCTCTTTACCACAAGAGGGCAATATTGAACAAGCGCCAGACAATCACCACAAACCAACCGCTGCCTTTCATTTGTAATACAGCAGATATGCATAGCAACCCAAATGAATAACATCCCATAATATCAGTAAGACCGCACGCTGTTAAACAGCCACATCACACTCAATATATCGAATAATGAAAGTAAACTGGTACCAAGTAAGTATACAATTCTTTCTAAAAACCTTACCAGCGTAGCCTACATTATATTTAGCACAACACAAAGCAAGCTACTGTAAGATTGCACAAAAAGATTTATACGCGGTACTTTCAAATGTGTTTTTTCTATGTTCTAAATTCCAACAGTGCCGTTTCACGCAAACACCGTCGGTTCCATCTACAGCCTCTATACCAACCACATTTAGAGATCTGCTAAGCACGTCAACTTCGTAAATGGAACTTAATTTTAAAATATCGCGCACAATTAAGTTACTCAACTGAAAATGTCATAAAATCTGTAGCTGTCTTTAAAGTACTGGTGCTCTTAAAAGCCAACTATAATTACCTCAACTAGCTCAAATATTAAAAAATTTAAGCTCGATTGCTAGTTACGGAACAAGTAATGGCAAATAACCAAGTCTTACCGTTATGAAGGTGTTTGAATTCGACGAGGTGTTAAACCGGCAAAATGGAGCCGGGGATGGGGGATTGACAGGTGTCGATCTGATGCATAAAACGAGCATTTGGTCGTTATGGCACCAGTTGTACCTCCAAATGAATCCGATAGTTTTAGGCTGAGTCCACCAAGATTTAGTATCCATATATTGTGCCATACCTTCCAGGGCATGAATCCAAAACTCCCATCACATGAATTCTCTGTGTGGCGCTCTTTTAACAAACAAATAGTCCACATTATTCCCTGTTGTGAAACAAAGCAGAAAAACAATGGGGTGATAGCACAGGTCCGAAGCAGAGGGAAGCTGCAAAAGAATGCAGCTCTATTCTCGAAAGGGAAATAATATATATAAAAAAGTTCATGTTCACGGCTACAATCCACATGACCAGCGGCGGCCAATGAAGAGACGTAGCGCCTCGTAAAGTTGTATTGCAAAGTTGTAAATTTTCATAAACAACAACGGATTTATGGCTCTCCGCGCGAGGGGGCAGGTCACTGCTAGGCGCCATCTTACAGCGTAGGAAGACCATGATTAAGTTAAATATTCGCATGGCGCTTGTCTTTCACATTAACTGTTTTGATTGGACGCATTAAATCGACTGCACGTTTTATTAATAGGGTTGCCGGAAATGATGACTATTACAACATTTTTCATGTATTCTTTGTGTTTTGGTTTTATGCAGAATGTGGCGAGAATTCGCACTGGCTTGGATGCAAATATTGACAGTTAATATTCTTTATAATTATTTCATAGTTTTAATGGGGAAAGGCAGCCAATTTGCCACACTGTTCCCACGTACAATAAGCGGAAGGACAATAAGTTCATGTAAGAAGTGAATTAACTCATTTATATTGTGCAAGCAAAGTTTGAAAACAATTTATTATAATATATAACGTGACAAAACCAAAGAAAAATGTAGAAGTACTTTGGACTTCACCGGAATACACACAACATTGCTGTTTTATGGTATTATTATAATCTATGATTTTATTTTTCCTGATACAAAATATTATAACAACAATGTTGCAGCGACTGAAACAGGAGTTATGCAAGAGAAGGCAGCTCGCTTTTTTCTGATGCGATTCAAAATGTATTTACGGCTATGAGATTTGTGTGTGAGAATATTACCGCCCTAATTACATAAAAAGAACACTTAGACCGTGAACAAGATAACAAGCAGAATTAACAACGAATATTCTCGGGGAACCTACAAGTTCCACGTTTTGCGCATAATAACATCAGATACGCAAAGCAAATTTACAAAGTGCACCTAACACAAGATTACTATATATAAGCAGTTTTTCTAAATTACGTGGTCCTAAATTAAATATGTGAGGTAGGCATATACACCAACATCATAGATAACAGTACGACTAAGGCATGCTGACATGTATAGGTGTGTGACGGACTTCAAATCCAAACACTGGTCATTTGACAATACGCACTCCAGCGCTTAATGAATGAAACATGTAAGTTGACGCAAGCAGCTTTGAAATAAACGAGCAATGCTACTTCACCAAGTCACACTACTTTAAAGCAGTGTAAGGCATGTTTCCTGCAATAACGCCATTTCCTAACCCCGTGAACCTCGGGGTTTCACAAAATTTTGAAGTTATTCGTCAAGCCTAAATAATTTCGCCGTTTTATTTTAATACAACTCTGTATTATGTTCATGCATAGGACTGCTCTCTGGCTAGAATTTCGTGCCATGAATAATAATAATTATTAAAACATTAGAGTAAACGTTAAATAGGTAGTATGTGTTTGTATTAGTTCGAATCCCTCTTATTTTAATTTAAGGGACTGCAATAGGTAGCTTGTTTTCAAAGTGCTTTGAAAAAAGTCTTGGCTCAAAATGAATAGCATTTAGCTTATGTTTCAAATAGGAATTACAATTGTAAGAGTGCCAGTTAATATAATAGACGTAAACATAAATTACTTTCAAAATATGCTTTACATAAATAAGAACGTCTTGTTCGCCGTATAATTATATGTGTTGTTTGCTGTCCTCTAATTCCACGATGTTGTCCTTTTCTTTTTCAGTGGCCTGGACGCTAACAGAAGCTACTGGCTCACTCTCCTCTTCTTCAATGACTTTGGTGACGGATCCAGCCACCTGACCATTATCCTTATGGTCCTTCTTCCATTTCATCCTCCGATTTTGGAACCAGATTTTGATCTGTCGTTCTGTGAGACATAAAGCATGGGCGATCTCTATGCGCCGTCTTCGGGTCAAATACCGGTTGAAATGAAATTCTTTTTCCAGCTCAAGAGTCTGATATCGAGAGTACGTCTGCCGGCCTCGCTTTCGGTCTGAATCTGTGAAACAAAATAATATAAAAGAAAAATTAGCTTCCGTATCAAGAATATGACAGCAATAAAACGACGATGAACCACATCACTTCGGCAATGTTACTGCTTTTGAACATATGCATTGGTAATTACCGCGGTATTTTCTTCGAACGTTTTAATTAATTTACCTCTGACAATAAAAGTACATGGTGCCCGTTATTTTGTTTTTGCTTTTTTCCACAAAACAAACCCGAGTGGACTAGAAGGGGGTTAATGGCTTCGTTATAATACTGAACAACAAAATATTTTTAAAAATATTTACAACACTCGTCTCTACAGATAATCACGCACAACAACAACAACAAACAATATAAGTGTACATATGTGTAATTTGTAGTGTGTAATTGTTTCTGTTATCTATGAAGACCAATTATTTTTTGTCCGAGGAGGCGGGAAAAACTACGTAATTAGCCTGCTGCGGATAAAATATAAGGAGAAATATGTGGAAGAACAAAACAAAACCAGAAAGAGCGTGCTGGACGTTAAAGGGATGAATAATAATTAATTTACGACCAAAGAACTCATTACTTGTGTAATAAAAGTTTTATTATTCATTTCCATAGAATGCCGCAGGCTCAACAATGTCGACCGCGCAACAGCCTAACCATAAAGCCTGCTGTAAAATAGCTCTATAACACAGTCGCATGTCATCGAGCCCTTTCTGTGCCACATGAGAACCTACCTGAAGCTCGCATCCAAGGATACATGCGGAAGTGTTTATCTGTTGGCATGCTGAGGGTCTCGGGACCCGACTTGTCGCAGCTACTTCTGGTTGGGTCATTGCAGAGGAGGTTCTGGTCATACGAGTTTCCACGCAAACCGTAGGCCTCCGGGCACTGACCATAGCCGGAGGTAAACATCGAGTGACTCTGGTAGATTGCATTGTTTACATTGTAAAGTCCAGACAGCGAAGAGGAGAAAGCTGCAGTCCCCGGACCATACGTCGGTCTCTCCCCACTCGGTGCCAGGGAGTACGGAACCCGGTCTCCGTTTTGAAAAAGAGAATTCCCCGCCGTATACTTATTAAAAAGTCCATCCTCATAATACGAAGAACTCATATTTTTTCCGTGATTTGTTGGCCAAGAGTCCTCAGTGTCGTTTTTACGAGGTAGTCTGATAAATGACAGCATTACACCCCAGATTTACACCAAGCCCCATTTTCCCCAGAACAAGGCAAATTTACTCACGTGATCACATCCTGTGACTCCAGCAGCCAATCGGCAATGGCTTTTCCAAACAGTGGCGGAGACTGGATCACTAGTAAAAAAATTCGTTAATATTGCCCACAAACACATACACACGCCCCTTTACAAGTCAGAATCATATCAGTGATACAATTACATTGAATAGATTATGTTTTACCTCAAACGATTCAAACTAATAGGTTCCAGCAGCTTTAAGCCAACCAAATTCCAAAGAGAAATTCCAAAGATTCCATGTACAAATATATGACCTAGAAGTTCCACGTATATCGTTATAGATATGTTTTTGCAGACAAAACGTGTCGATAATATTCTGAAAGCTGTTGTGTACCACATGCACGAAAGACCCGCTGATTATTTTCATATCAGTTTTTTTTAGGAACGTGTTATATAAAGCCAAAGTTACAAGTTAACAGTACATTTGAAAACCGCAGCGCCACAAAATTCTCCTTGAAGATAATGTAATACGTTTAATTCTGTCATCGCATCTAAGCAAATTATTTCCCGTACTTTAAAAAAAATGGCTAATTGGTAGTACTATCCTTATTCATCTTATATTGGATTTTGTATTTTATTTGTGTCCATAATTTGTTATCCGGTGCTAAAATTGAGAGGCTATTGAGAAATATAGGCCTAATATACATTATATATGTGTGTGTGTGTGTGTGTGTGTGTGTGTATATATATATATATAATTGATTAATATTTTTAGTTTAGTTTATCGCTGCTACATTCATATTTTTGGATTTAATTGGGCCTGGTTTAGCGATGATGATAAATTCAGTTTTCGTTAAGTGTGAGCATTCGACCCCTTTTACTTTCATTATACGATTCTTGTCTCTTGAACTAAAACTAATTTCTTGATTCGTATTGTTTTTGCGCTAAATACTTCAATTCAGTGTACGAGTGTATTGTTTTCAAACGTGTATTAATGAAAAAATCTACCAATGATAAAACAAAGGAGAATGAAACAAGAGTATCAATGAAATCTGACGAACACGCAAATAAAATATTATATATATATATATATATATATATATGTGTGTGTGTGTGTGTGTGTACATGCGTACATATACATATATGACGAACGTTTAAAAGCTGAATGTTTATTTTAGTATTATCATTACTTAACTTAAATAGATTACAGAATAGAATAAATTTCATATAATTTTAGTTAAACAGTAAAATAATTCAGGTTCACTTAAGTAATTTGTGCGGTGGCATTTCCAAAATATTATTGTATTATCAGTAAAATAATTCCAAAATAACAGTGATATATTTTAGAACATTTATATTTACCCATTTATATTACATTTTTTCTAGCAGAGCAAGCATTGAAAATTAAATTATAATCACAGATGGCAAAATTTACATAACGCCTACAACGTTTGCCTTTTATTCGATAGCGTGTTCGATTGTCTGTATACAAAATGTAACCGATATATTTATTAGGGTATATGAGGGTCTGTTGTTTTGACCATCAGACTGTTCCACTACTGCTAATATAGCTGCATAGGGTAGTAGACTAAGATGCAGTCTTGTTGCTATCGAGAGCTTAAGAGACGTAGTGCGAGACAAAAACGTCATTTTTAATGTATGTGTTTTTACTATGCGCGGGAAAATACACCTGAGGAAACAAGCCAAATAAAAGATTAATAGACAACGTTCAAGGGCAAGAGAATTTTAAACTGCAAGATATACAACACGAATTATACTTTCATAAAGAAAAATACTACGATGCTCAGAAAATTCCCCCTTTAAAATAACAATAATAATAATAATAATAATAATAATAATAAAACGCAAAGGCGTTTTGCTGAGAAAACGGCAAAAGACGGAACAGTTTATGTACAGTAACAAAATTATGATAATGGAGTTAATTACATCCGTATTATGCCAAGTAGATCTGCTGCATACATCATTAATATTGTGGTGGAGCACTACTGCCATCTATTGGATTTTTCTCAAAATAGCAGTGTGGAAAAGCGAGGACGCCGCTCGCTCGTATTTGTCTTACACGTAGGTCTACTGAAGTAGCAGAAGAAAAAAAAAGCAAAACCGCAAAAACGGGTTTCGAACCATATCCGTTGGCGTCATATTACATTTACCTATTTATTACATTTACCTATGTAGCCGAATTGTGTAATTGCTGCTGCTGTACGACCATCTTTAATCTTGATAAGCCTTTTGTTAAACACTTTTTAAATCCAATTTCCTAAATTTCCCAGAGCAGGTAAGACAAAGAGATTGCGAGACATCCATGAGACCACAGCAGTCAAAGACGCCAATAAAGAGAATTATTTCCGCTGGCCTTTTGTGCGAAGAGCAAGCCGATGGAACAACAAATGGGTGCTTCGGTCTGGAAACTTCCTAATTGTGTCTGGACGGTCATAAACTCATTAAAAGTGGAATTCCAGACTGTATAGAAGAGCCGCTAGTGTTTTATTACACTGTCTCTGGAAAAAACCTTTGAAGTTCTGTCCATCTGCAGGGCAACATCACTAAATTCTATTAGTGCACGTTAAAATACCATTTTAATTTGCGTTTGTGCTTTCTCATGGTCATGTGTTAGGGGACTATTTTATTTAAATGTTTTTCTAAAATGAATGAATATGCGCGCAATTAAATTTCACGCAATCACTATTCTAAAATGTACGACTTGGTGGGCGCTCGTTAACCATTTTACTTAGCATGTTCATCATTGGATTATATTTCAAATGGTAAATTTATCCCCGCTCAACAGAAATACATACGCTGCAATATTTTAAGTTTCAGCTGCCTCGCTTTCAACATCTTTCTTGCTCTGTGTCCTCTCGCCTTCCAACGCTTTGCACCCCATAAACGGTTATAGCGGTAATTGTCTTTTATGACTGTATACAACCAGCAACATCCTTTGCCAAGACCTGCAGCAAGGCTGCGTCGGCATGTCTGTCCAGAATCCAAACACGTTTGATAGAACTTTCAAAGCGCCAGCATACTTTCCTCTTAGCGCAGATTTGTTTTTGAAATATACGGCCATATCACCTGAACACAAAGAATGCGCGACTTCTTTTTACGCCAAAAAACAAGGGCTTAGGAGTCACGCCAATCTATTTCACACTTACATGACAAATAGGCCTGTACTAAATAGCATACTTACAGTGTACTGCACTTATAATTATGAATTCGCTATACTACATAATGGATTAAATGAACACAAACCAGTCAGTCCTATCTCAGGCTTAAATATGTTGAATAATTGCCAAGCTAAGCTCACCATTCAAGTAAAGTAAGAACAAGCTATAATTAAAATTCTCATTGGAACAGAATGCAATATGAAATTGCATGTTTTCCCATAAATATTTAAGAGACAAAACTGTCAATTTACAGTATTATTTATTTTTTACTTGTTACTCAACATACAAATTACATATAAGGAAAGAAATGCTTTTGCTATCACAGGACATGAGGTATTCATCAGTTTTTTATATTCTCTTTTAGCTTCGAAGATATTTTAAGTACCTTGTGTGTTTGTAATAATGTTTAAAAATTCCTAACTATAGGTAGTTGCGAGGCATATAGGTAGTCAATACATGGACATTTTTAGACATGTTTTCCATTTAGCAAGATACGCATTTTAGGTCATGCACCTAATTCAGTGTTAGCATTACATGGCGTCCCCAACGTTACACTATGTTATAATGCATTTCTCTAGAAATCATACACTTCAGTCAACAAAATAATAGCATCAACAACGAGGCCACGACCAAACTGAAATGTAGATAAACAGCTAAACAAATCTAATACATAATTCGACGTACACTCACAAATAAACACTGTGCGTATTAAGAAAAGCCTCATATATGACAGCGAGCTAGGCCGTACGATCTACACCACTGTAACAAAATGAACACTGTGCCTTCTACAGACCATTAGTTTGTGCAATACAAGGTAGTTTAAAGGAGGGACAAGTAGAGATTAAATCCATCAATTGAGTCAAACGTGCGGACATCATTTTCGTCGCCTGACCTGATGATATAATAGCAATAGACTATATGCGAATGTAGAATTTGTTAAAGTGTAAATAACTCCAACACATATTATTTCACAGCGAATGATTTCAGTCGTCTTTCGGTCCATCCTTATTGAATTTCTTCATCTTCATTCTCCTGTTCTGGAACCAGATTTTAACTTGTCTTTCAGTCAGATTGAGGAGTCTTGCCACTTCATATCTACGGTCTCTGGTGAGGTACATGTTAAAAAGAAACTCTTTTTCCAACTCGAGAATTTGATGCTTAGAGTAAGGACAACGTTTTTTTCTCGTAGAGCTCGCGTGAAGCCAGTTGGACACCGGATTATCTGCAAAAAGGGGTCAAACATGTAAAATAATAAAAAAAAAAAATTAAAAGCTGGTGACTCGCTAGGGCCCATCGGTGTAATTTTCGCCACTGGGACACCCTTACGAATTTTGACGTTTCACAAATTAACATTAACAGTCGAATAGCTCAACAGCGAATTTTCACGGTCGAATTTAATATATAGGCCTATTAGATATTCTCATCTTCACTGGATAAGACGCAGAGATAATTGTTTCCTTATGGGTTTTACTTTGTATAATTCTAAAATAATAACTTAATTAATTCTGAAATAAATGCAATGACACTCTCGTTTAAGTACACGCAAACCCAGAAATCCGGAAATAGTTAAGTAAAATTGTATCAATACGTTATGGGTAAACAATATTTCAATATATTATAACGAACTGGAGATGTTGTACTTACTTGGGTTCACGTCTGGTTTATCCACGGACATATTCTCTTCATTGGGCTCGGAGTATGAAATCTGGCTTAAGAACCGATCCTTTTGCCCAGGGGAGGACCCCTTTGCAAAATCGGGCAAAAGCAGCGTATGCGAACCCAGCGTTGTACTGCCATCTCTGACCCCCACATTCTCAGGTTTGATACCACTGTGTTGGTTGGACGGTAATCCATTGAAAGGCAAGGATCCAGAAATGGGTTCTAGCACCCAGGATTGCATGCACCTTCCATCCGACTCCCCCGTGCCCTGAGAATGTGTGTGCGGGTGACACATACTGGGCATTCCGTTTGGAAACTGGGCGGGCACTGGGCTCCAGGATGAACAGAAAACCGACGGTTTCGTCTGGAAAGTGCAAGAACCGAACTCTGCATGTTCGGTGACCGGAGTTTGTCTCGCATGCTGAAGCCCTGAACCGGGGTATCTCGCTGCAAAAAGATCCTCGCTTTCAGAGAGAATGAGAGAGTCTACGTAGTAACTATTAAGTGTCCCTGATGTCGACATTGCAAACGCACATTCGTAAACACACACACACACATAAACACGCCCACAAGTACACTGTACTATCTTGAGAAAAATAATCTGTAGAAATCAAGTAGCAACTTGGCCTCACAAAGAACTACAGTCGGCTAATAAGTTGAACGTTCCTTGCCATTCGATTGGGCGACAAGCGCACGTGATCCCGAGGCAGAACAATAAAAAATAAATCAGTCCGCTCGCTATTAAATGGTGACTGTTTTCCGTTTTAACGCTTTATAACAAGGCCTTGTGTTTTTATGCAAAGATATATTATTTAATACGTACAGTAAAGCTGGTCGTGACTATGGCCAAGACCAAATAAAGATAAAGTACACGAGGCTTCGTGAGAAACTGATTCTAGTCTGCATTAATCACTCGATCACAGTATTTTCTGTCTGTGTACGTGATGAATATATATGGATTGTAAGCGCTTATACTGGGTAATATTCAATCAATACTATAAACTATAGCTCAAAAATACCGACTAATTACCGCTGAACTGGTAATTCAAAAGCAAAAAAGGACTTATTTTTACGTATGCTTTATTAAATCGCGTGAATTTGCATTATTTGGATTAACTGAAGATGAGAGTAAAACGCGCACATTGAAGTTTTGACTTGCGATTATTTTTTTAAATCAGCCCCCATAACTACCAATTCGCATGAACGAACTAATCTGTGCGCCCCAACGATCTAACGCTTAAAATGTTCCCGTTCCTGATGGTCCGAGTCCAGTCCAAGAAGAGCAAAATAAGACCCATATCCCGCCTTTCAGAAATCATGAAACATTGCAGTTAAATTTAAAAAAAGAAAAAAAATAATGAATTAAATAAAGCAATAAATAACTGAAATAATATTGCCAATCTGATATCATTTGCGAGCAAATTAAAAGACTAATGTAATGGTCATTTTGCAATGTTGCAAATGTGTATCTACTTGTAATTACTTAAATTATAACTGATGTTTCTATTAATAATTCTATTAACTTTAAGATCGATAGAATAGTGATTACGGTTACATTAGTTGTTAGATTAAATTCAAATAGAATGATGTGAATAATACCAGTAATGAGAAATTAACAGTTTGAAATTTTGAATACACATTGTTAATAGTAGTGATAATGAAAAGTGTTAAAACATACTTTTTATTACATGCACAATATTTCTGTTACTGGTAAGCGCCATTATATCTGTATACTGAACTGACTGCAGATAAATTGTGTATAATTTAAAAATCCACATGGAAAATTGACAATAATAAAGCAAAGTTGTGCTAAGAAAACAAAAATCAACTGTTTCTTGGGATTGAATTTTTAAAAATACAGCATTTCCGCATGTTCTGGGATACTAATAATTAAATAGTAACAAACGTAAGCTCCCATTTAACTTGTATTTTAAATAAAAGATACTATGTGACTTATGTGACTTTTTTTCTTAAATTGTAGTGCGCTGATATTATGTAAGTTTTAAACTATGCCCAATAATAGTAATAATAATAAAGTTTTACTGCATATTTTAATGACGAAACATTGTGAGATATGACTAATGCATTTCTAGAGACGACCTGCTCAGAACACGTTTACTATTTGTGATAAGAAAGCAACATTATTTTAATGATTTGTTCCTTTTAGTTTCAGTAATTTCAGTTCCAGTATAAAACCGAACAGCTGATAGCCTAAGAGCTACTATTTATATAAATGAGAGAAATTAAATAAAATAGTAACATCGGAGATAAAGATAAAAGGATTTCAAATGCATATATAATTACAGAGAAAATAAATGCATATAAATACTCAGTAATTCACAGTTATATTTTCATGAAATACGAGACCTTGCAATAAATATTCTTTTATATATAGTCTATATGCATGCATACATACATACCTAAGTAAATAACCAAATAAATATGAACACGTATGACACGTAAGATTGCTTTCACCAGTGTTTTTTATTATTCTTAATTCAGTTTGTGAAAATACTGAACGTTAAAATATTTTTCTGTGGACAACACACCATGTGGGTTACTCGTCGCTTTTTTTTCTTTCTTTCTTTGAATCTAAGAGCTGGAAACAAGCAATAGTTGTGCGGTTGTAAACTGAAGGTGGGTGTTGTAACAGGGACTGAGTTTACCACAGGGGCTATTTACTTCTTTTACTCCAGATAACAGGCTGTTGGTCTGATCTAAATATCGCCACAAAGGCCTCTCCTGTCTTTGTGTTTAGTCTATTGCGCCGCCGGAAGCGCCCGGTGCTCTACTGGCGCGCCGCTGAGGTCGCTGTTGCTTAAGCGGACCGAGTAAGACTGCAGTGGTCATAACCGAGGCCTTGTCGACCCTTTAATTTCCGTGTAGAGGTGAGCTTTTAGCAATTTTCAAGTCCACTGTCCCTCTCACACGTGTTAAAGGAGTTTGGTTATTTCAAGTTTATTAGTTAAATACATTTTCATCACCACATATGGAAATTTCCATTGATAGATCTCAGCACATTTGCCAAAGAGACAGAGCAACCAAATTAGTTCATGCATTCACTACAGGACACATGTTAAAGTTAGGTATAAAGTTATTCGGTATAAAGAATGATATTATAAAGTCCAACTAAACATTTCAGTGTAGATCAAACTGTTTTTATAGTAGACTGTACGTTACAATGTCCGCCCGGCTTCACGACGAAGTTAACTGGGGTAATTAAGACAGTTTCGTGTTGTAGAGGAAGAAAATGTAGCCCAACAACATGAAACTACCTAAATTACTCGACAGTCCATAACAGTATTGCACAAAATAAAAACATTAAATCTTTTGCAATCAATCCTTGTTAATTAGAAAAAAGCACAACAATAACTGCATGGTCATATTGCCATCTATGGTGTACATGGTAATGCGTATTTTTTTCTCTTCTAGCGCAAGACTTAAATATATGACTCACCATATTTTCCTGGCACTGGATGGATCGTTTTTTTGGCGCGCTAATTTCCTGCCCAGCGGAGAATCCGCAGGAACCCTGAGTCCCATTGCCAGCTTATAAGAGAAATCATTTGCTTCCTGCCCGCCGCACTGCCAGTCGCCCAAGTGACCCTGTCAGACTGCTGCAGCAGCAGTGCACATACAGCCCGCTAGCATGTCATAAAACTCGACAAAAGCCGACAAAATTGCAACACGACGCTCTATTGCTCGAACAAAAATATGATGGTGCAGACAAATTTTAAAAGCAGGCCTAGAGATTATTTAACGTCTATGATTGCTTTTTAAAGAAAAACAGCCCATATTCAGATTAACAATATACAAAAATATACACGAAATAAAAATGAAACCCGAGGAATTTTTGTACCGATAATTTATTAATAACTCAATACACAATTCACCAATTCTTTAGCTAAAACACCAGTTTGCGTATATTTACACAATAAAAGTCCGTTTGCTGTTTCGAATCTAATCTTCATTGCCAATCGAGTATTACTCTCCCATTAATTTTACAAGTCAACCTGAAAATAGTTGCTCTCTTTCCCACATTTTAATTAGGATATTTCACCAATTATTTTGCTTAAAGACAGAAGTTATTAAAACAATATATACAGTCTCACAAAACGAGATGTACATGAATATCTACATCAAACAGCTTTCCATTAAAAAGAGGTAAACGTAATACAATTTGTTCACGAGTGCGGCTTATTTATGTACATGTGCTGATAATAGCTTTTATTTTTCGGTACTGTTCACATTCCTAAAAGCTAGTAAAACAAAGCAGAAAAGTCATGCGAATAATTTTTATGCCGACTTTTTATCATTACAGTAAAGTGGTCAATATGCCTACGTCCAGAATTGTATTTTCAGTCTTTCCTTTCTTTGTTTTCGTCAACCTTTGTGCTCTAAACCAAGAGCGCGTTTTTATTTCACACATCACAGAATATCATATCACTTTTCCCTCACGGAGAAATAATGCGACAAAATGAACACGTGAAACTGTAAACAAAACAAAGGAACGACAACGAAAAGGAAAACGAAATGAAAAATATTCATATATTACTAACCAAAAACTTTATCTATTAACATTAGCCCGTAGAAACACTGAGAGTTTCTGTTAGACCGGTTGTGCCCCTCGCGAACTTGAAGAAGGAAGACGTCCAATAAACGCATAAATAAAGATTATCAAGAAAAATTAAAATTCGGCGTAAGCTCCCGAATTCTGTTTTCGCGGCTCATTTTCTTCAGTTTCATTCTGCGGTTCTGGAACCAGATTTTGACTTGTCTGTCAGTCAGGTGGACACTGCGACTGATCTCTAGGCGACGCTCGCGAGTCAGGTACATGTTGAAGAGGAATTCCTTCTCGAGCTCGAGAGTCTGGTGCTTGGTGTAGGGGCAACGTTTCTTCCGGCCACTTTTCGCTGTAAGCCAGTTGGCTGTATTTTCACTTTTTGTATCCCCTAAAGGAAATGGTAAATACGTATACTTTAACTGACAACGCACGAAAAAATAATATAGAAATATCTGCACTCGTGCATATTGCTTAAAAGGATTGAACTTGAAGTTGGTTTTAAATATTTTCAAGGAACACAACTTTGTCATAATTAGTTACATTGTTCTAGTTAAATATTTCCACACTAGACTAAGGGACACAACAGCTCTTGGGGAATTTTTATTAATTTAAAACAGACCTGTCATGCAGTTTAACCTTATGTATACATTGTAGGAAACTCCTGTGATATACTAGATCAGCTTTGATAGAGTTCACCTTGGACAACTAGTAGTATAGTTTTTGTTAGCAAACATGTAACAAATTGTTGTTAGGCAAATTAAACTCTCCAAATGCACAAACTGTTACAAGATACCCAGCGCTTAAAGGTTAAATACAGATACTACCCCGCAAAGTGCATAATGCATCAAAGTACGAGACGCCACTCACACGCCTTCAAAACCGCAAAATACTCACCTTTTGTGGCTTTCATTGAGCTCCCTTTTTCGTTTTCTGGTGGTTCCGGTGACGACGATTCTGCTGCAGATGACAATTGCGTGTCATCGTCTCTTTGCGGCGGACATGCTGCGTTTACAGGAGACGTCTCTTCGTTCCCTTTCTTGGCCGCCTCTGCTGAGATGGAGGATGAAGGCGGCGAGCCGAAGCCATCCAGCGGTTGCAGACCAAAGTTTGTAGAGTTCGCCTGAACACTGTGATAAACCTTAGAATGTGTGTGAGTCTGAGACAAGCGGAAATAACCAGGTACAGGAACTGTGCCGTTGTCACTGACTGCGCACGACCCTGAAGTTAGTTTGGAGTAGGAGAGATCCTCCGCAGTCGACGCCTTTGGACACTTCTGCGACTCATAGAGACAGTATGCGTTTTCCTCTTTAATGTTCGGAGAGAAAGAACATGGTGTAACCTGCTGTCTCGTAGGTGGATCCATGCGGCACGACCTCGGAGCCTCTAACCACATATCCATTCCAGTCATGTATGGACTAGACGTCGGGACCATGTTTTGCGGGTTATTTTCGCTCCGTTTTCCAAAACCTGGAAAAAATCCACAATTCGGTAGTCCGTAAGGCAACTCTGTGCCTGGTGGCAAGCACACGCCGCTTCCTTGATAGAAGGCTCCACTGTTTTCGGTTCGGGCACTGATCAAGGAGTCTACTAAAAACGAGTTTCCAGCTGGGCTGTCCGAGCATGACATTGTTGTTGTGTAATTTGGCGAAGGGAGAAGATAGCCCTTTCTGGCTGACATTTCTTGTACAGAACATGCTGAATATGATTAGAGATACCCCCACTACAGTGTGCAATCTAAAAGCCAATTGAAAGGCCTGGGCTCTGTGGACTCCACCCTCCGAAATCTACGTAATGACACGAGGGTCATTTCCATCTCAGTCTTAAAAGGAGAGGAGAAACATCAGTGCGATCATAACCCATAAGTTAAATCCAAATAATAACGTTATATGCCAGAGAAAGTGCATGTGGAGTCTTCGCATAAAATGTGGAGCGACTGCGGGCGCGCGAGTCAACATTATATTACAAAACTAAACTATTTCATTCACCAAACGTCATGAAAAGTGACTAAGATTATATCAGTTCTGCGTCTAATATATCTTAACTCACCACCAGCATTTGGTGTCAGATACCCATATACGACTTGTTAAATATGAAATATACTCCACGTGTATAAAGACATACTCACCTCAAAGTACTTTGGGCTATACTGCAGAATTAGTGACATTGACATAGAAAATAACATCTCTTTCATGAATTGATAGTATATTACTTCGCCAACTTTATTTTTCATTGAACTAACGTCTCAGTAAAATCAATAATTGTCTTCGTCATGAAAATCAGGAAAAACAGAGAAGGAACATTTTGTTAGTCCGAATAATATATTTGTATGAAATCAGATTTTAATCTGGCCTTTGCAATACATTTCTACGGGAAAATACGCAGAGCGTGTAACCAAAAAGGGACGTCGTTTCGGCCCTTTTAAACGCGAAAGATAATTTAATCATTTTAAATTTTGCTTTAACGCAATTTAACGTTATGAATTTTGTAAGTATTGCTTCACATCGTTATATCGCACGTATCATTCCAGTGTTTATAAACATCGTATATTTACTACGATAACATGTATATGATAATATGTAACAGGATAAAGACATTTAAAAATAAAGAAACTAATGCAACAATACAGAAATATTATGATTAAAGTATAAGTCGGGGTATGGAAAGAAATGAAATCTTCATTAAACAGTTCTTGTATTTTTTTTTCTTGGTCGTCTTCATTTGCATTGATTATATGCGCCATAAACATGTGTCTAGCTTATTAAACTATTGGTTAAATTCTATATGTTTTCATGTGACACAAGGAGGAGTCGTTTTCTATAGATATATACCTGTTTATGATTGGTTATTTTGTCAATGGCTGAGCATTCATCTGAAGATTATTTCATATCTACTACCATGTATACTACCCAGAAATCCAGTGTCATACTTTACTGGAAAGGAATCCAATAGTAGACATTGAATTATATGAATTCACACACACACACACACACACACACACACACACATACACACACACATATATATATATATAGCTGGATTGGGATTAGGTAGATGGAGGGATGGATGGATGGATGGATGGATGAAAAACACGTGATTGAATTACACACACTTCGTATTGATGCCATTTTCAAACATTGCACTAATAAGTTGTACATTTCTTGGACAATGAGCGACGCTTCCCCAAGCAACTGTAAAATGTCGGCTATCGGTTTACCTAAAGTATCGTTGAGTTAAAAAAGGGGCGATTGCAACAATCAAAATGCGGATCATAGAATATCACTTTAGCTACATTATCTACACACACACACATACACAAGTATTTCGGTGTATACATGTGTGTGTATGCGTGCGTGTGTATATATACACACGCATATATAAACAATAACATAAACCCAAATGTAACTTCCCAACTTCTTACTTATTTTCTCATGTTTCTCATTTCTTATGCTATCATTTTAAATTCAGGACGAATGACTGCAAAATTAACTTATACTTTATTTCATCAAGCAGTCTTAAAACTCCGACAGGCCGTTCTCACCTATAACCTATGCGGTTATGTTCGATAATACTTCGTTTTATTACATCCAGCAACGGTTTTTATTTTTCACAAGAGACAAGAAGCCCGTGCGGATGGTTAATAAACACCGTTTTCAGACATTTAACCCGTTTTTATTTCCCCGAAGAATAACAAAGACGCGGTTATCCTGTATTTAATATGACTAATATATTGCGAAAATGAATTCTAGAATGCATGTATACATACCGCCCGTTGTGTTCGTTTGTGTTAGGCCTATACTTAGGCCTGCTATAGTAGTTTGAGTATGTATTGTGCACTTTTATATATTTTAAGTAGGTCTAAGTCATTATTATGGTTTTAAATATAGTAACTATTATCGATATGATTTTCCAGAAATGCATGTCTGTTTATATATTTAGCAGTTAAATTGTTTTCCAAGCGGAGTTACGTGTTGCTTCTAAGTAAATTCTATGAAGCAGTCTGACTGGTAGAAATTTAAACTGCTTAGGCCTACGTCCAGCTTGGAGGTTTTCTCCAAGTATTTCAGTGTATACGTGTTTCTGAAGAGTCACAAAGTAGTCGTTTCTCTTTGAAAATCGGACCACAGTGCCCCGCAACAGCATAGCATTTTTAACGGCCTCGATAGAGAAAAAATCGCAGCGCAGTGAATTCAGAAAAAAATCTAGTATTGTTTATTGACTTGACAACCGCAGGCAGCGGCCGAAGCGACTGTATAGCCTTGACATTTAATATATTTAAAAATTACAACAATATTTCAGAAATCATTTACCTGGGTATTCGTTCGATAAATGGCACGAGTAGGAGCCGTGAAGGATTTGGGTGGAGATCCTGCGGGTGTTTCAAGATCCACGGCAATGACATTGATCTAAAGAGCGCCGCCCTGTGGAAAAGCATCCATCCGGATACATTAGGCCTATTGAAATTTTCTGCCACTGCAGGACGCTCGAAGTGAAGAATGAAGCCGGAGCTGCTGGTGAACGCTGCCTTTCTGTCGTGTCAGTGATGGTCTTCGGCCCATGGTAACAGTTAATAACCTTGGTCTCAGACAGTTTATTGCACTGCACTCCAATTCTACAAATGCTCCAGACGCAGACAGATTTTATAACCGTGTTGCCAGAGTAACAAGGAGGATGTGTCGTAATTAGGTCGAGATTCCAGAGACACTCAAAGGATGAACCAGGCTGGGAGAGCGGCGATCATAAACTTTGGGTCATCATTGTTTATTGGTCTATTGACTGTCATATGACTGGGCTAGTGTGGTAGTGTTGACGCTTGTAAAATGCTGAGAATAACATAAAATACTCGGATTTTCATGAAATAAACCTGGATAAATAAATATTTATTTCTAAATCAGAGGGCTACGACAGCCGATTTGAGGAAGTCAATCTGGGCAGCTTTGTTTTCCCATTTTCTCAAGGTTTCTAGGTGATGATGAAAAACATTAAGTTCAAAGCCAGTGAATGAAAACAATTGTCGCAAATGCATTAAAAGATAAGGTATCCCAAATTATGCGTAATATACCATTACAACAAGGCGAATAAGTTGCATTTTACAATAAAAAGAAAAAAATGTAAGACAATCAAATAATATACCCGACAGCTGCACAAACCCTGTCTGATATCACGAACAAAATATCGCGCGAATATATTTAGTGATAATTAAAACGGCATCTTATAATGCTTCTGATATATCTCAAATAGGGTTGTTAACCATAATATGGTAATAACAAATAACTGAATCTTAGGCTTAGAGATTTCCCCTTTAGCCTACCAGGTACAGCTAATGTTTCATTCAAAACATTCACACCTTTTCCTCATCTCCTACATTTTAACTCCGTCGGCAGTTCACAATGCCCTTTCTTTCTTCATATAATACAGTGAAAAAATTAAAAAGCTACGATTACGCGTTGGCCGTGTTTTTCTAACGTGTTTTTTTCATAAAAGATGCGGAACGAAATTAAAACATCAGAGACGTATGCTCATGCAGCGATTGGCTTTGTTGACGTGATCAAGTCAAAATGGAAATCGCCAGCTATATTTTCTATATTGCCGAAAAATAGTAATGTAAAATATTTTTTCACAGTAACCGAGATATACGAAGTCTATCGCTGATTCATACAGGTACGCTTTCGAATGCAAAAGTTTCGTGTTTGCCATTAATACAGAAGCTTAAATTAAATAAATTACATTGGATTTGAATATGTTCTAGGGTTTCATTTGACTGCAAAAAAAAATCAAACATCCGTCTAATTTAGCTGGAGCGATTTTGCATATCCTTGCACGTTGCGCGGTCGCTGTATATTTCTTGGAAATATGAAAACACCGGCGAAAACACGTTCATCTATATATCCTGTAAAATATAAAATATATATTTAGGCCTACACCACAATTACAAGTCCAACAACGGGGTCATGGACGACTGGGGAAAAGACATTGCATGCCACACCGCTCTTGAAGTTGACAGTACAATCTTTAGATAGCAACCTTAAACTGATTGGAATACAGACTATATCAAAATAAACTTGAGTGCATAAATATACGTGTGACAGAAACATTGTATACCGCATTCACGTGCAGTGTGTTCGGATTTGGTCATAGAGAAGTTATAAATTGATGAAATTGTTTCGCATCGCATTTTCTTCTCAGACCGCGTATCTTATTTGATCTTGTTTATAACTCAATCGTAGAAAAAAGCATAAAAACAATTATAAAATAGAAAGTTAAAAAACGAGCCAAGCAACTTTAGACTTTAACAATATGAGCAGAATGCTTGGCGTCACGACGTTCGCGAAATACATAGTTGAAAACGGACATTGAGTGACGATGAGGGATCCATGTATACTTATATTTACTGTACAACCATGAGATTGTCCTCTTTATACACATTTTGCAGTATGCGGTCGAGAGTCCTCGAACTTGAAATTAGCGATTATGCTTTGGCGCCGCTGTCAAAACACCAGAAGGGAACACGAGTCCAAAGCAACAAAATCCTATAGCAGAGGATTTGTGGTGTAATATTGCAAGCGATCTCTGTTCAGTTTCTTTTCTTTCATTCTCCTGTTCTGAAACCAGATTTTAACTTGGCGGTCTGTTAAGTTCAGCATCCGTGAGAGCTGCAGACGTTTCTCTTTGTTGATATACACACTAAAAAAGAACTCCCTCTCCAATTCCCTGATCTGGTATTTTGTATAAGGGCATCTCTTTTTGCGAGTCCTCTGACCACCTGAAAAACAGAAACAAACACCGAACATTAATTCGACAGCAGAAATACAGCGATTGTTTTTTTTTTGTTTTACCGAGCATTTACGTTGCTTGGTCGTGTTGAATTTTTGAAATCCCCGATACATTGAATTACGCTGAACTGAAACTTCCAATGAATGCATAGGCAAATCAATTTCACATGAAGAACTATTTAAATGATCGTATATATACCAAATACGTCGCAAATATTTTATGATATACAAATAAATTGCAATGTATAACTATTGTGAAAATTGAAATTGGGATAAACTAATACAAATAATTTCTCAATAATGTGCAAAGATTATTGAATAATTATTGTGGCTAAGACACATTTTGTCTCATTCTGTTTCATCCTTTCCACTTTAAGATAAAAACTTTATCAACCTAATTTCTTAACCGCCACATAGCCTGGTAAGACCTGGTAAGATTTTTACAGGTTAAAAATCATAATTATGCAAAAAAAAAAAAACAAATGCACATACATGCATCATCGTAATAAATGAGAAATATACATTTTAAGTATAAATGACGTCTGGTCCAAAGTCTTTCATGGCCAATTTCAATTCCAAGCACGTGATCTTGCCGTTTATAACAAAGTTTTGTTGGGGAAATCTACAGGCCCTCCATAAACCTTGTACGCTTATAAAACAGCATATAAAATTTTTAACAGCAGCGCGCTAGATTGCAAACTTTCTCTCATAACCGGGGCGCTGTCTTAATACGTACTGCTGCTGTTAGATTTTTCCTCATTGTTGCCGGAAGAGGACTCGGCACTGCTGCTCTCATCTCGTCTTTCTTGCCCTTCGGTCTCCCGACACGGCGCGGGCGCTGGTGCAGCAGGCATCTTGTTGGAATTTTTCTCCCCTGAGTAGTCATTTGGTGGGTTTTCTGCATTCCCATAAGCTGTTTCGAAAAACTGATCAAAAACTTGGGGCAGCACCCCGTTCCTGCCTACGTTTCCGTAGAAACTGGACGTGGAACCGGAGCTTGAGTGGTAGACAGCGGAATTGTTTTTCCCGAGCATGTCCCCCATTGAGGACGGAGCAGGCAGACAGTCCCTGTGCACAATCTCCTCTGCTGGGTAACAGTGGGTAAGATTTCCCCTGTGGTGCCATTTACTGGACGCATCAATGGCATAGTCCCTGAAGGTTACCTCTCTCACGGGCTGAACCTGCGGCAGGTTCGAGGAGTATGAGTATGTCACTGGGCGAGAAGACTGGGTCTGGGATAAGAACGAAGGGAGGCTTGAAAAGTCTGCCCCCGAAACGTAGTACGTGCAACTGGGCAAATACATATTCGACCCAACAGGGACCCGCTCGTCAAAATCCATCATTACTTTATCTGGGCTTCGCCTCTATTGCAGTCCTTAACATGGTTTTCCAACGCTGCAACTCCTGGCTCTTTGAAGCTGATCCCCGGAGCAGAAATTCTGAGACGTAAGCTGACGTGGAGATCTATCTCCGTCCATTCCAGAGAGGCGTGGGTCATGTGACCCAGAGCCGAAATTGACAGATTTCTCTGTGCTAGTGCTGTGTGCTTTTATATGCTTGCACGGGGAAGAGCGAGCGTTATCGTGGGTCCTGAAATGCTGCATAAATACGATTTATGAAAGTTAATACTTTTACATTGTTCAAATATCCAGTTTTTAAATCTTCCAAAAGAAAAAAACAACCGCACACTGAATATGCGTAAAGACTGCGGGAGTGCGGATTTTAATAACGATTTAACCAAATCCAATGTTAAGGATATTTTAAATTAATTCTACAGCGTCTGGTTATTTTCATTGTTATATGACCACTTTACTGGCGTAAAAACCGTCGGACGGGCTTTTACAAATATTATTAATCTGCATAGTGCATAGTTATGTTGCATATTCGCTATATGGCACGGCTTATGTAACGTACTCTAGTATATAAGCGGGATGTCTGTACATTTGCTAAACTGATCAGTTTATCCACTAATAAGTTTGCTTTAGTACACAATGCAGTATATGTGGCAACGCTACACTAATGTACCTGCTGTATTTGAAAGAATGTTCAATTTTTTAAACATTCTTATACTCGGGAAATATAATGTGCGTGAATATCTGCATATTACACACAACATCGGGTGGTCCATATTTGTTTGAATCCACCGCAACTTTCTGCGTCGAGGGGCGAGGTTCACGTCCAGGTTTATTCCGGACGTTTCGTGGGTTTTCTTCTCAATTGTGAATGATTCGAAAAATGCTCCGCTTCGTTTTCGCGTTCTCCTAAGCTTGAGTAACAACAGAGTAAAATTACGACTGCCTAAACAATTCCGGGTGAACAAGTCTGACTAGATAGTAAACATGCGCTTAAACGCAACCACGTAAAACCATAGAGTCCTAAAAATTGTATCGAGCTTATTCATAAACATACCATTTTACACAAGTTTAAAAAAACTACTAATTGAACTGCAATATATTGAATGAAAAACAATTTCGCATTAGTCTACAGTAGTGGACAAAAATGTGCAAATAGGTCACTGACTATTGGGAAAACAAATATTTTCACCATGGCCGTCCTCATCTTATTAATTACGTATTTAACAATATACAATAAAAGCAATCACAACGTGTGTGTAATATCATTGAAAATAAAGCAAGCCATTCTTATATTAATGTTTTCTTCAAAGGTTATTTCCGAGCGTTTTCATTGCTAACGTCCAGCAGCGCAAAATGGGGGCCTTTGTAACGTTCCGTGATGTAGCTTACCCTGCGCGTAAAAATTAGAGCGTAGCGTTAAAATAAATCGTCCCTTTCAAAAATATTTGAGGCATAACACATAAAGCCAGAGAAAACACATATTCCTCAACACCGGAAGGTCTCGGTTAAAGCTGAAATGAAAATACGATTTAGAAGGGAAAATATAAGGGTCCATGGTCAATTTTAAAGATCTAGGTAAAGTATAGGCATAGTATCGAGGCATGAAAAATAAACATTCTGAGGTTTCAGTCAGTTTTATAGTTTTCTCTGGATCTTTACATACACATTGAAAGACAATTTTTATGACGTATAAATTATACATTTAGGTCTAAGGTACTACAAGCATCGTATTCTTAACTGGTTATTTGCGCATCAAGTTTTTATTCTACACAAAACGGTATACCGTACTCCTTTCTGATTTCTGATTGCGGTTTTTTTAGAATTTTACCTATTCTCTCCTTACAGTAACCTTTTGTGTGTGTGTGTGTGTGTGTGTGTGTGCGCGCGCGCCCGTGTGTGTGAGAGCGTGCGTGCGTGTATTGCGGTCGATTTAGGCCAAATAATTAAAAACTACTCAGTATAAGCGTGCAGGCTAGTAATACACAGGTGTTATAAATAAAATAGTTAAACAAGTATTCAGGCAATGGAATCCTTACATTAACTGTCGTGATGCATTTACGTCTTTCAGGACTGTAAGTTAGTATAGCAAAACAATTTAATTGAACACATACAAGTGCTGGCGCAATTGCATGATGTTGCTAAATATACTTTTAATCTTCTCGAGAACACCTCAGTATTATTCTGGCGGGCCATGTCTCATTAACATGCTTCACATTTGAATAATTGTAACAAAGAGCCAAGTCTAAGCCTTCGTGGCGACACGCTCCGCCTCTGAGTCAATTCAGACAAATTCTACCACTTGTGTTGGGGCTTTTAAGCCATAATTGAATGCAGGATGCCCACGAAAGCCAAAACCAGTCAGAGACTGACCTGCGGTTTTATACCGCTTCTGGTAGTCAACTGGGGTTTTTTTTTTCACTGTAGACATGACAAAACTGACCAACCGTGATCGACATACGCCACCTACGTGGAAATCCACGATCTCTGATGAAATTAGGAGCCAAAACTAACCGTCGTCAGTGACACAAAGCCGGTTTATGAAAGGTAAGGCTTATCAACCAGAATAACCATGTTAAGGCGCGCATTGTTCGTTTTTCATAGATGTAGTCATCCAAAAATCAATATATTTACACATTAATTCAAAATTTGTGTATATTTCCGTGAGTTTATTTAGCATTTCTCTTCCTTGGTCCCGTGCTCTTTTGGCTGCTAACTGCAAGCGTTACCCCAGTAACAGACTTCTGATGATAGACTTCAAGTTCGAGGAACGAAGAATGTTTGTGCCCGCGCGCAGAGCGGGTAGAAATGGGCTGTAACACCACACATGAAGTACTGTAGCCCGGATAAAGTTTTCGCGACTGCCAATGACTTACCAGTGATCCAATGGACAAATACCCTTCACCGAAACACCGATCGTCTGGAACGCATTGACAGTTCAAGATCAATAAGTGGCTATGACATTTGAAACAGGCCTTAAAATGAACTTCAACTTTGCTGTCTTCCGAGAAACTGCATATACAGTCGTGTTGTCATTTTCCACAGACCTACACGGACTATCCTGACAACCTTTTATTCATAACCCCCTCTGTAAAGACAGAAACAAAGACAATAACATTCGGAAGTTTCGATTTAAGAGAACTTAATAATATACAGAATGTTATGTTGATATTGTGGTTGTGGTAGCTGTTGGGGAAAAAAAATCACACAGAAATGTTGCTGGTTTGGAATGTGGTTTGTATTTTTTCTAAATTAACTTTGGCTTCAAGAGATTGATAAATTGCGCGTCGTATGGTCATATGCTGAACATTTTGCCAGCTGATTTAAGTCATATGTCTGTGTAGAAAGATTTGCTATCTAAGCTTTACTGACCTATTTTTTCCCCTCTGAAAATGTTGTTTACTGTTACATATTGATGTTAGAATGAAGCTTCAAACATTCATTGCTTGAGGTGAAAATATCAAGGGATAAGAGTAACATCCAAATAACATTGATTTTATTATGTATTTACTTCTAGCAGCCAAGCTGAACAACGTGGCACCAGAAAGATTTTAAAAATAGTTTTCGGAGAATCACATTAATTACTCAACTTGCCTCTCGCCATTATTGAACCTTGCAGTCTAATTGTGGATGTAAATGAGAAAAGAATATTTTCTCATGAAGCAGCCTAGTATCGGTAGCGCGATAAAGCAGAGAATAAACATACTTCACTTTAAATTTTCTATGACTATTATCCAGTACAACATATGTGTTCAAGTTCAAAAGAGATTACGATGTTTGACATATTTAAATAAAGTGCTTTTCACGTCCTATCCTCAGCCTAAGCATAATTTATTTTTGAACTTGAATTTTACTCTCGGCTTTAGAGGAATATGATATTTGGTTTGTTAACAGGAGGGTTAGCTCACGGAAAGGTAATTTCAGTCTTCACACTTCTCATAATGTCCTGTTTGTTTTAAAGATATCAGTTCATTACGCATCTTTTTTTCCGACTGGTCCTTTTCTGCAGGACTCGGGGAGAATTGAAGGCTGAGACACCGCGCCAAAGAAATCTTCACAAGTGAAATCAGTGGCTACAACTACTACAAATTGAAATGATCTGAAATGGTCTGAAAAATTCCAGGAAAATGAGTCGGAAACTCCTGGATCTTGTGGGCCCACCGAACGTAGAGCCCCGAACAGTACCCGAATCTGTCAAAGAAGCATTATATATAATAAGGTTGTTATGTTTTAGGCAGCAAATGCAACTCAAATATTTGCACTTGTTATAATAATGATTATCATTATTAGCATAGCTATTTTATATCTCAATAATAGGTATCATACGCAAAATACAAAACTTTGTAGATAGTCCCACTGTTTAGAAATATACATTTCCCGTGGCTTTCAGTATATGTTATTTCCCGTTGTGTAATATGTTTAGTTTAGATCACAATATAAACGTAGAAATATTTGACCCTTAAATCAATTGAATAAGTGCCAAAATTTATCTTTGCCCACTTTCTGTTAAAGTGTTTGCTTAGAAATTACATGTGTAACAATTGCCCACCGCCGAAGGGTATTGAGCGATGCCCAAACTCTGATTATTTTACTGAAAATTTAAATATTATGAGCCTCGGGTAAAGTCGTTATTGCCGTTATTGTGTAAGCTGTACGCAATTATTCTTGTTTTCGTTCTGAAACTCTTTGGAATATCACTGTTGTCTTCGAATCGAATGTACTATATTCTTGGCTTTCTGCGCCACCAATATTTACGTGTAATATCTTTTCAGGTATTAGAAATTAACGTTATTGGTAAATATCGGTACAATCACATAAGCATTAATATGTCGGACAGAATGTATTGTGCAGAATTTCGCAGAACTGGACCGGTTATATAGATAAATTTGCGCAATTGTAAATAAGAGTGTTTTTATTGTCTATGCTATGCGAATACGGGATTTACAGATTTAATATAACAAATAAAATTATTATTATTAGTAGTAGTAGTATTAGTATTATGGGTTTTGATAATTGATGTTTTTTTCGATGGGTACATTTTTCATTCTAACAAAAATGTCGACCTCTAAAGGCAGTAAACAAAGTTTGCATGCTTAATGAAAATGCCATAGCTAAAATTATTAAAATATTGTCAACTCAGATTATTCATCACCAGAAGTAAAGAAGTGTGGTTTTAAAACGGCGATTGTAATTAAGCATCGTCTTCCGCTCGCGTATATGTCTGAAGGTAAAAAAAAAAAAAAAAAAACGGCGCGCGGGTGTCATGGTGGACTGCGAAGGTCAACGTCAGCTGACCTGCGCCTGGCAAGCTAATGCTTATACTCCACCATGATTTTTTTTAACCTCTTGTGCGCTAGGGCGAGAAACCAAGAAGTTTGGCTTCCAGTTATGAGTCGCACAAAGCCTGTGTATGCCTGCTGAGTTATTTAAGAAGATGACAAGCCGAGAAAAATCATTTCCTGTGTACAAACACAAAATGGGATAGTCCTTACAACAAAACGTAGTGTTCGGACATTAAACAGTTGCAGAGAATCTGAAATATATATGTATATATATAATTTGGTTCACAAAACAATATGAGTTTATTGTTTTAAAATAGCGATTGGACGTTTTAAACGATTGCCGTTTTTAGTTGCAAAGACACGCAATCCTCACTATTAACGTCTTTAAAGGGTACATTTGATCTGTTTGCTGCACCGCAAGAATGTTTGCAGTGTCGTTTGTTATAACTCCTTTTAGCCATTAGGTGGCAGCAGATGCTTCAACATGAGATTGCAGATGTTTCTGACAATTTGCTCACGGCTAATTCCAGTTGTTGGCCTTGTTTGGGCTTTTCTGCCGTTTTTGAATGGCGTGCGCGCAAGAAAGAATGATGCAAGCAACTAGTGAAAACATAATTGTAGTATGAGAGACAGGTCATACTATAAAATAGCAGGCCGTTTTCATTAGCCTTCAAAGAAGCTACTAATTATATCTCATATATAGCCGTTATATTGTAGGAGGTAAACCAATTCATTTACGTCGTTCAATAATATAGATTTTCATTCAAAACATCAAATCAAATTATTAAAATTCCACATATGTATACTGTAACATTTGGATACATTTCATATTGTGTGTTTTTTTGTAATATTTAAAAAATTGAGCATGATTATTTTTTATTGTTATTCCTCTTTTAGGAGAAAGTCAAATTAAACGAAACAGCAGACGTTGGTTTGTAAACGCAGCTGTAGAGTCATAACATCAGGCTTTTGCTAAACCATTATAAAGAAATTTGCCGTTATCCTGCGTTCACCATAACAAACTAGTTTGTAGAATTAAGCAAGCAAATCACTATTATTTTTGATATTATTATGCACTATTATTATTTTGATAAAGACACCGACGACAATGACAATGATTTCTGTAGACTACTTGTAAAGGTTTTGCATGAAAATTCTAAAATGTAATATCCGAATTAACTGGCATACCAGTTTTGGTGATTATATAAATAGACTTTGGCGTCGAAGAAATGTTTCACCGTGAAGTGGTTATTATGGTATCGCTGTAATCAGTATATTTTACTCACCTGAGGCCCGTGAATGTGTTTATTGATATGTCATATTAGCCGTACACATCTCTACAGTTCTTATAGCGTCCTTACCTCCGTATATTCCAAGTATCTAATGCGAGTAAACAGAAGTTCTGTCGTCCCTTTGCCGATCAGCAGAAAGCTCGGCATGGCCGAGAACAACAAAGACGAAAATCAGCCTCTTTTCAGCAGGCGTGTGGTTTTTGTTGTCTACAGCTGATATTTTAAGAAGTGTGGAACAACCTTAACGAGCAGGCATACCAATGTATATTTCTTGATATGACTATTTAAAATAAAACGAAAAAATAAAACAATAATGCTTTTCTGTTGGCATTCTTCTTCTGCTTTTCCGGTGAAAATAATTTAATGAGACTCACAAAGGACAGTGTACCGCCGCAATAACTGAAAACATTACCGAATATTATATTAAAGCGTTTGAATTCTGTTCGCGGACAGCAGTATAAAATGTGAATTCATAATACTAAACGTTTGCCTAATTTGATCATAAAATCTTTTAGTAGCAGAACACAAAAACGATCTGTTCATGTATTAAACTAGTTAAAACATGTTAACAGCTTAGACAATGTCGCAGCATAATTTTAAACTAAGATATGAACACACACGCACACACACGCGCGTGCGCGCACTCTCACACACGCACACACACACAGTCCACGTATTCATATCTTAATGGGGACTCTCCATTCATTTATATGGGCAAAACCCTATTCACAACCATGACAACCTTAAAACCTACCCAGCCCTAATCTTAATCATAAACAACCGAACAAAATACCACTTTGGACATTTTAGTTCTTTAATTTCATTAACAGATTTTTATAAAAATTGAGGTTACCTTAGGAGGACTTAAGAAATGTCCTCACAAGGTAAAAAGTTACAGGTTTTTATCATGTTATGGGGAAATCTGCTCCCCACAATGTAATAATTACAAAAACCTACACACACACAGACACACACACACACATCATGTCACGTTGCAGTGTATTTGGATTTCACATGTAAGGAAAATAATATGAATAACACCAAATACACGAGCGAGCTTTATGAAATAGGTCTACCATTAAAACGGCATTTTATATTCATATTGGAAAGTCCCACAGGGATAATATTATACATGGCATAACAGAAAAAATACACCTATTTGATGAAACGTGAATTTATAATGGGAAATGTAACACAGACGGAAATTCAAATGGCTAGTTTGACGTGCTGCCATTCCCTTTGTTCCTCAATTTAAAAAAAATATACAGCATTCAGTTATTTGCTGAACAGTATAAATCAGTCTGCGGTCATGTTTGCATTTTTTGCACCGTAAAGCGGAAAATCAACAAAGCGATGATGTAATGACACTTAGGGGGCAGAGCCAGATGATGGATTATAACAAAGCTAATATTGAGTGCTAGTATTTCTGGGAGTTCATTCGTTCAGAATTTTAGAAATGTTGGTGAGTGTTTAAAATGCCAAATTTGATGACTGTTCGCCGCGTTGTATGGACTTCCATAATACATACTGTATATATGCCTCCTGTCATTATTCGGTAGTATTGTAGACCGAGAACATTACACAAATTCGTCACAAGATGGCAATGTTGGTCCACATTACAAGTTGTGAGGGGTGGGGGGGGGGGTGGAATAAACTGCAAACATTGATAATCTTTCCGCTTCTTGGTCTAACTTTCTATCAGAATAACAAATATTTCTTAACAGATGATAAAATTTGTAATCATAAAACAGAAGCATGCTTTAAGTTGATTTTTACAGACCATTTAAAGTTACATCTTGCAAATTTAATTTTGCTTACCTTAGCAAGATACAGCACAGCAAAAACTCCTCCTCTTTATTAAACAGTAGATTTAAAAACATGAATATAAAATACAATTCACACTGAATTAATTTAAAGGACGTTGTTGTTTTTATTTGGTGTTTGCAGTTAAACTTATCCCTGCTCGTCAGTTGAAAGTGAATGTCCGTTCATTATAAAAAAAGAATAAAAATCACAAGTTAGCTCAAAATTTATAAGCAGGGTTTATTAGAATTGATATTTTGTCAATTAACAACGTTGACATTAACACTTAGCGCAAACACAGGTAAATAAGCGAATTATTCAATAGTTTGCACGCATATGTTACTTTTATATACATCCACATTACTGCAATTACAACTGAAAAGATATATTTTACATACAAATGTTTCTTAAACGATAAATACAAGCAAGATTGCACCAGAAGTTTGGTAATACCGAGAGACTGCAATTCTCGAAAACACATCATTAAAAACCTTAAGGCAGAGAGTCCATTGATGTGAAGAAACATGTAGGTTTTGTTAAGAATTTATTGACAAATGTATTTTATTATACAATGTAATACTTTTCATTCGACACCGTCTCTTCAAATCAACTTCAGTACTGTAGGTAATTGTCTCGACGATCATAAATGTTTAAATGCCGGTCTACACGTTTAATTTTTCCTGAGAAAAGATTTAAGCAGGTTTTATTTTAGCATTTTACTAAGCACCGAAGTGTCGTATGTCAATCTTCTTCATGCTTTGGTTGCGGTAATGATCTTCAGCTGATTTTTAATATTAACATGAGGAAGAATCGTTTGAAATTTTCGTTTTCAGTGCTTTCAAATTAACTCCAAGTAGCCTAACAGATTTTCTCGCCATTTTTTGTATTCATTTTCTATCTGACAATCCACAAAGGTGAAAGATTTCCAGATATTACATATATAACTCGTAAGTAGTTCATTTTTCAAATAAAACAACTTTTAATGTATATTTATATATATTTTTTTATTTTTATATTTTTCCATTGTCTTCCATGAAAGCTAACTTGCGCTCTTCACTTTGTTGACGACTTTTTTCTCCTTTACTCGCCTATTCTGAAACCAGATTGTAACCTGTCGCTCCGACAGGTTCGTCTGGGCTGATATCCGTCTTCGTTTGTCCTTTGTAATAAATTTGTTAGTGGCGTATTCGCGTTCCAGTTCTTTCAGCTGTACCTTGGTGTAAGGCACGCGCTTCTTTCTTCCTCGCCGAAAAGTGCTGCCGTCTCCTGCGTGCGACACCGCATCTAATGCAACCAGAAAACACACAGTTGAGCCTCCATTACGAATGCAGACCTAGGACCAATGTATGCGATTAAATTGCATTGTGCATGGCAATGGCTATAATGAACTTTCTCTCTGTTAAAAGTTAAATACATTCGCGCAGAATTGTGAATAAAACTATGGCAGTGCCTCCATTAATTACTTGCAAAGCTTAAGTTTCTAATTAAATGTATTCAATTTTAGCCAGGAAGCTGGCTTACTTTAAAAGAAAAAGCGCATATTTTTCCCCTCGCGCATTTACACCAAATATTTATTCAGTCTAATCTCTCTTTACCTTGAATGGATGACTTCCACATATGGTTTGGCTGCGCCTGCTCTTTGGCGCAGTAAACCTGACTGTTCCAGCCGTTGGTGATGGCCCACGGCTGGTAGCTTTCCATGGGCAAGAGGGGCTCGTGTCTTGACTCTGCAGGGCCGCTCATGCCTGACACGACAGGCATATCCAGATAGCTGGTACCTGGCTGGTAAGGGCCGGTCGCGTAGCCTTGATAAAAAGCAAATTCCTTAGCTCTGGGCGTGAATTCCTCCCCAGACACGGATGTGTCCATGTACTTTTCTCCATATGCAGGTTGAGCGCAAGACTTGATGCTGCTGTGATGTGACATTCTGCATGGATAGTAGCCGCTGCCGAAATAGCCATATGGCAGAGAAGCGCTGGAAGAGCTTTGGGCTGCCGAACAGGGGCTACACTGTTTGACAGGTTCGCCCATGCCAGATACTGGCACTTCAGTCGATGAGTATGTAGTGCTGGGCGCCAGTGATGCCGGATGGGCCATAAGATTCCTACACTGATTTGCAGCAAAGTTACCTCCCGCAAATCCCTCCATGTTTTTGTTCACTTCATCTGAACCGTTGTCGTACAGGAACATCACCGGGTCAATCCAGCGGGGACGCAGCAGTAATGACGCTGTCATAGCACGTCCAACATTGAGACTACTGGCTCTTTTAAAAAGGACCCAAGACTGAAAAAGAGATACTGAATCTGAGAGAGTAACCGAGTCTGACGTGCCTGTGTACACCAAGGACGTGTTGTTATTGGCTGACGTGAGTCACGTGATATGCAAAGAAGACGATAAACGTCTTCAGGATAGACAATTAAATCTATATGAATTGCGGTGTTGTGTGATAGAACGATGACCGTATCCATTAAAGGATCTGCCTTTTTTAATATTGTCAAAAACGATGGAGTCGTGAGTAGATCTCAAATTCAAGCATTTTAACCCATTTATTAACTTTGTTTCTGTCCGGTCACCTTTTTAACTGTGTATTTTTTTTTTTAGCGCAAACCGACTTGTGTTTTCAGGTTTAGCACAGGTCATGAGATACACCAAAAAGGAAAGAATGTGTAATTATATTAATAGTCATATTGCAGGCTTGTGTCGATTCAGTATACAGATTGTCTGGAGCCACGAGGCAACTTAAAACTGTCACTTTCCTCGTAGACTTTTTTTTTTTCATGAAGTATGAATTTGATTGGTAAAATTAATTTCGCATATTTTATTATTTGAACTACAAATGGTTGTTTTAAAATTAAATACACCAAATGAAGCATGAAACATCTATAGCCTAAACGAAGCACAGAAATTCTCTTTAAGGTTAGAACTGTGAAACGGTGTGTGTGTCTTTAAACTAGGCCTGCATTATACAGTCACATATCACAATATAATGGAGCGTTTAGACTTATAATACGGAATCGTTCAATACAAATATTTTGTACATTGAATAATTTATGTATTGTTGAAGGTACATACCGTTGGTTAGTCCTATATCTGCAGATACAATACTTATTCAAAGAGACTTTTAATTAGAAACCACTGTCTCGTGGTGTGTGTAATTAATTTTTGAATGAGAAAAAAATTAAAGAGTATTTGAATTTTAAAAATTTAGACCTATGCAATGTTGTCGACCTGCCTGGTCATTTAACAGATCTATTTAAAATAAAAAATAAAAAATAATAAATTACCCTGCGATCGTGATGAATAAATGTTCTCTGTCGTGGCACAAGCAGGCATCTTAATTCCTGCCCTTTGAGCTTCCGGTGTATTTACAACACGCAAAGACAGAAAGTGGTCGGCAATTTGGCAGCTCTGTTTTACATACGGGTTAGACGAGGCTCGAGGCCAAGGTCAAGTTGAAAGTTGCAGTCTAGCCACTGAGCTCGTTGTCATTCAGGCTTTGACGGACCTGTCTGAATTCCTTCAACAGGCGAGGTGGTGAGAAAAGCTAAAGAGCCCCGTACCGCTTTGTGTGAAATATGATATCGCTCACGTTTGCTATCATTTTGGTAGGCCTGTTTGGGACTTGCTATGTTTAAAATGTTGCTTTTATTTGCTTATGCTGCTGTCACGTCCAGTTTCTAGACGTTTGGGGTTTATTGTCTTTCGAATTTTAGCTAAGATGTGTGAAAAAGAAGTGATTACAAAGGCGTCTCGTGGATAATGTCATGGTAGCATCCGGTCTCCGTGTTTCCGTTTATTGGCGTGGCTCTCTTCCAAAGCCAACGAAGGCACATCGTCTCTAAGAACTTAATATTAGGCCTGGGTGAAAATGAAGAATACCAAATGACGACGGTAATTTAGGTCCTACTGTTTAGAGATTTGTTTAAAACAGAAACTGTGCGTTTAGATGTATGTCGTTATGTATTTATTTTCTGCAGTAAAATAAACATTCCAAACAGTTTCCCAGACACACATACATAAATATCATTTGGTTATTCTGAAATACTGCCCCAAACTTCTCCTTTAAGCCTCTAACAAGTAGCATTTAAAGCAAACATTAAAACAAAATTAATTTTGTACTGTGTTATGTTTCTATCCTTGATAGATTGATTTTTACAGGCTTTATTTAATTTAAAATCTTAATAGCCCAATCCATTTAACTGTAGTATTGATAAATATAAAATAAAACGTATTTCCAGTAATTGTAAAATACAAATTCTTCTAGATTCGTCTGCCACAGAATTGGCGGGTCCCCACGATAATGTTAATATACATTATTTGAATACTGACCAACAACTTTGACGAGCGATCTGAAAAGAGGCCTGCGCGGTTTCGTAATCAACGTAAGGTATATAGTGACTTGGAAATTCAATTTATGAAATATATCTACTAGATATTGTTACCCAGGGCGAATGAGAAGGTTTGATATTGGGGGTGGGGCACGACATCATAATTAAAAAACAAATGGGGGGGACGACGACGACACATCCCCTCCCCCCCGTTCCAACGCACCTGATTGTTACCAATCACGACAATGTTGCAGATCAATCCTATTGTAACAACGAAAGATTTGCTCTGAGTAATGCACACGGCTTTGGAGAATAGCACATTTACCAAAAGACTAAAATATGTGTATTAAAATATGTAGATATAGATACTCATGCAGAAACGAAATGTCCAACAAAGACAAAGCTTGCGTCGGAAGTTGCATTTTGCTTGCCATTAAACACGGCTGCGCACATACGTAGGCATCCACACGAAAATGTTGTATATATGTATGCAGATGCAAACCTATGTATATCGCGTAGCTCGTTTGTTTACATTTTGTATTTTCAAATGTATTTTGAATATTTTAACATTTCATTTTTTTAATGTTAAGTTTACATGTGTGTAAAATGTGTCTTAAATGTGTAGGAAATTATCACCGGTCATACCTGACAGAGATTCAGGCGCAGAAATGTAGCCTAAGTGTATTCCGTTCCTCTAACGATAATCGCTTTTACATTTGCGCTGCAGTTGTATGCATATTTATATAGGCCTATAATAATATTCTCATATGTCAACAAATACAAAGAAATGGTATGATTAGACAGTCATGAACGACAGGTTAAGCTCACGATACACCGCCGGCACTAACTTCTGCGTAACATGTAACTGAAGTAAAACTGGGAGAAATCAAAACGTGGACATTCGGGATGTTCGTGTCAGAGGGAACTCCGCTGCACCAAACCGGCCAGCGAAGCTCACAGCCACCACCAGGTCCACTTATCCATTATAATATGGGCTATAAAAGGGATTTTGACTTTAAATGGTGAAAATTGGTTGGATTTAAAGAGGGGATTAACTCCCGAAGAGTATATCCTATTGAATGACAGTAGATTGTACATTCTGAGGGATGTGCACGTGAAAATGGGCCTAGGATTTCGAAGTTACAAGCAGATAAGTCATGGATATCCTACTCAGTTGCACGTGGATGAAAGATTTTGACATAAAATAGTTTAAGTTGAATGAAATTGGACTCACGCGTGAATTAATATATCATGAACGCTTACTGTGGGTTTTAAAATATAGGATATCTTTCGTGAATTACACTACTTATCATAGACAAAATATGTCACAGTTTTCATTCGGCATAAAACCTCTGTACCGCGTGCGCAGACTCAGACACAACGCACTACAAACCTTTTCGTATCAAGACAACATATTCTGAAGGCTGGACATCATTGTATCAAGAGACCCAGGCCTAGTTGAATATACTTCCAAAAAATATCAACGCCCTCTTTCATACGCAAATCTGTTCGTTCAGGAATAGGTTAATTTGTCTCTGCACATTTATACGTTTCGTTTGCTCTGTTGAACATGTCCGTTTTTTGTACTTACTGTTGTTATTTTCGAATATTGTTTATTATAGTAGAACAGTATTGTAATTGGTTTTGCCACATAATCTGATATTGCATTTGATTGCAAATATCAGTAAAACGTTAATTCATCAGTTTACAATATTGAATAAACCTACATTTTGCAAAGTGATCCGTTTAATTTTGATGGATTTGCATAGTTAGTGACGATATAGGCCATTTATTCAACATTCTGTTAGATATTATAAATAGTAAACCTCCTTATACCATACATACCGGTACTAGGATAAACTGAAATTGTTAATTAATTGTAATGTCAGTGTTTAATGGGCTGTTTTAAGGAGAATTAACTAGGAGAAGTACTCTCTAGGTGAATCGCCATATGGGCTCTCCACTTGAACTGGACTAGGCCACTCGCCGCCATCAATGAAAAGGTTCCTCTAGGATAACTTACGCCCGGATAAATCCGATTCAGTTTCTGTTTTGTGAACAAAACTTATAATGAAACGATTCCGTAGAAGATTGTGTGGTAGGGATCACTGTCATGCGTCATTTATCCGCAATACAGCATTTATGACGTGTTATGACGATTACATTCTATTAAAATATTAATACCCCTGTTTAATATGGAAATTGGCCGTTAATGAGCCAGTTAATGTGCTCATGCGCAGAAGTACGTTATCGGCTCACCGATATCAGCTTTTGCGTACCTAATTCTTGGGCGGTAAAAGATAAACTGTGTTGGAGTATTAATAGAAGGCCATTCCAATTTTGGAAACTGGCGCGGGTTACGCAGGTTTGTTAAGGAATCACCCATATTGTCCATTCTTGGCGAAACCAAAATGTAGGTCTGCAACAAGAACTGAAGAGCACCCAAATTTAAAGTTAAATGCTATTCGCATTCTTAAATGTTTTTTTTTACCAGATGGGACCAACTGATACAACTATTATTTTATATTTCTTATTGATTGCATTGTATCCTAAAGACATTACACTGCATTGCGTTGTGCCCATTTATTAAAAGCTGTATATGGAGAAAAAATACCAGGCAGGATGAATCCGGCGTTTGGAGAAATCCAGCCCCATTCGGGCTGCAATTAAACCTTTTGTGTGACATGTTTCTGTCCCTTTTCAAAATGACCTTTGCTTCTTCGTTATCATTTCGTTAAACAACGGAGGCAGTGGACGCCTGTTTTTACGGTAATTGACTAATGACCTTCAGAACAAACGACAAAGATAGTAATATTTGATAATATGGTTTAATCAAAATTTCGGCCGATGAAGAAGTCCACCGCCTTTCTAAAAAAAGACGGAATTTACAAAGCTTACGGTGCGAAGTCAATGTTTTCCACGTGAGCCTAGTATCACATTTACAAAACACAGTGGCACTGGCAGCAGCAAAAAACACAGTTAA